TGAAGCACCGCCGAGCCACCGAAATACCGAGCCACCTAACCACCCACCAGGCCTCTTTTTCCATGTGGCATTTCAAATTTGTGGCATAATTTCCAGGGCAAGAAAGCGTCAGAATAGCAAACGCAGAGTGGGTGGATTGGATTGTCGAGAAACAGGCCACTCCATCGATTATTGCCTGTTAATTCTTCTCGTTGGGTGGGCGTTGAAAAGTTTTTCCCGAGCCGCCAAAAAGAAAAAGTCAATTAGACCAATTGAACCGACGGGCCTGAAAATTGCAGGGCTCCACTTCGTGGAAAACCAAAAGTTCAGGCCCACCGAAAATTGAAGAGAGAGCGGACAATTGTAAGTGACAGCACGTGTTGGGAATTAGTTAAGTAAATGAGGGGACTTGTGGATCTGTCTATAAGGAGCACTCCCCTAGGGAGTTGGCCAATGGGGCGGCAAAATAATGGAAACCCATTTGACGGCTGAGAGAGTTTGGAATTCCATTGAACTTGGCTTCAATGGAGCAGCTCCGAGAGCAGCTTTCGTTCTTCATTAGCACTCTGATATACGACTACTGGCCATACTCTCAGGTATCTCTGTTGAAAATGTCTGATTTTTACTGGCTTACCCTGAAGCCACTAGCCCTCGTATCAATTTCCCAGGCCTCAATCCTTTTTGGCCACATGCCCAAGCCGTTCAGCTGCTACATTAATCATCCCCAGTTGGCCAGCAGCAAAGGCGACCGCAACAACGGCTCACACACACTTTTGGCCAGGTGAGTTTCGGGCCCGAGCTGGCTGCCTGTCATAAGTTATTAACAAAACGACCCTTTAGCCCACATACGCCAAAGCAATTCGTAAAGTGCCATCACAGGCTTACTCACGCCCACAAAGACACTCGCATCAATTCTCACATAGATTCGCACACACACACTCTTCTGTCGACTGCAGTCCAAGACAATACTTTAAGCAAACATTTGAACAAAGAGAGAAAGTGCACTAAGAATTAAAATAAAAATGTTTAAAGGGGGATAATATTTTAAAGGCTATAAATGTGGATACATTCTTGAACACGCTTTAATTTATTTACATATTTAATCTGAAGATTGGGCTAGTTTATTGAAAATACTTAATACTTATAGCTTTGCTTTTCTCTCAGTGCACTGATTGAACGAACGAACAAGCGTCAGTAGCATTTTGTAGCCTTTGTATGGTATTTCAAGTTCGTTGCATTTTGTTACATTTTCTCGAGCGGAGAAGTATGGGGGATTTAGGGGCGGGGCAGAATGGATTGCCGGGGGGCGGGGGGCGGGGTTGCATCCGAAATTATGACCACTCGGACCCAATTTACTGGCAGTGTGCCAAGGACGCTGACGTCGCTGTGTGGCGGCTGACAGCTCATTGGAATTTGGAATTTTCATTAGTGTTACAAGTGTGCCGCCATTGAGACGGGCGGCCAAGTCGCCAAGCCAACAAAACCGAACGAAAAAAAAACATCAGGGACGACGGCGACCTTTCCAAATCAAATACTCACGCATGGGGCGGGGTCAAATAGCGATGTATGTGTGTGTGTGCGTGTGTATGCGTGTGTGCAAGTGAAATAACCAAACAAGCTCAAGATTAATGTGCTGCGGGCAGTGCAAAAGTTTTCGAATGCTTGACATTGCATACTTTCAGGGGCGTTGCCAACAGCATTCACATGTGGGCCATGTAAGAGATTCCTTGCTTGGTTGAAAGGGTCCTTAAAGCCACGCCTAATTACTGCACCAACTTTATTTAAACCTAAGGGATTTATTTTAAGTCCAAACTTTAGGGTTTGTTTAGTGGAAAACCACTTAACTAAAGTTGATCAGATTAACAACATAATACCCTTAAAAATATGAAAATTTAAAAACAAAGAAGGAAAGAAAAACATGGTAAATCCCATGATGAAAATCTTTCGAGGGGCATTGTTTGGCTTGGGCTGTCGCAATTTTCGTGGCCACTCAACGTTGGAGTGGCGCTAATGTGTAAAACTATTTAAGTGCTCCACCCCCGCTGACCCCTTTTGGCATCCCCTGGGAAACAATGTTGCAAATTGCCGCCTGCCACTCGCGCTGTTGCTGTTTTGGTAATTGCACTTGCTGGTTTATTACCCACACAGCCATAAAATGTAATGCACATGATGTAAGTACTTAAATATGGCGAGGGCTCTGCCGATGCGTAACCCCAAAATTTTGACTGCTGTCAATGTCAGTAAAGCATACACATATAATTCCCAATCCCCTTTCTCCGCTTTCTCCACTTGCTGGTAAACGCCAAATTATTCCACCTGACATTCCGTCGACGTTTATCGGGGCTTTCTGGTTTCGCCAACACTAAGCAAACAAAAGTGAAAGCGGATTTGTCTGTGTTTGTCCTCTGCTGTGCATACATTGTATCCTTTGTCCTGTACCATTGTTTGCATGTGTGGTGGCGAAATAAAAGCGAAACAATCAACGAATGCGGCAGAAATAAATCGCAATGCTTTTTGCATTTGACGCACTAAAGTATTCACAATGACTGAGGACAAACACCTACGGTATATTTTTATTACTACAGTCAAACTTCTTTAGCTCGAACCTTCTTCAATAAGTCAATAAAGAAAACTGATGGTTATCTAAGTACTGGAAAATTGGTTTAACTACGACTTTAACCTCTTTTAATTTCAGGTGCGCTTTTCTAAACATTAAATCAAACTGGCAAAATTATTAAAACTTTAAGTGCCTTTAACAGGAAAAGTAAAAGTTCACCGACAGACTTTTTGAAAATTTGAGGCTCAACTCCACTTAGACTACATCTTAATTTAGTTACCTAGAATTTAATTAAGTTGCATCTACTGGCTCACAAGCAGACTTGAAAAGTTAATCTGTTTATTCGCAAGCCTATCTGAATTTTTCAGGCCACCTTTGGGGTTTGATTCTGAGTGCATGTGAGTGTGGGAAAACAATTCCGTCGTGGCAAATGGATTTCCTTTTGTGTTATCGGAAGCATTTTTAGCCTACAACGCACACGATCCCATAAACACACAATTCACAAACTATTTCAATTACAAAGACGAGAAAACTTGACTGGAAGCGGCGAAGGTACAAGTACCTGTGTATTCTTGGGGAAAAGGAAAGGAAGCTTTTCCATTTCCCTTCGCAAACACAAGTGCCGTTACATGCACGCTGTTCTACACTTAGGTTCAGGAAATGGCAAATCAAAAATGAAAGAAAATTCTTTTCAATTTTTACTTTTTTAAATCGTCATATACATATCCATATTTGTAACTTGTTCAACAAAAGTAAAGCACATACATAATATCTAGAAATGTGTATGATAGCTGCTATTGTTTTGACCCCAGGTGTATACATAAATGTTCTCCTCTGATCGTCGCTGAAATATTTATATGCAAATAAATAGTTTAGCGAGCTATCAACTACAACATGCGACTGTGTGCGTGAGTGTGGGTATGTGGGTGCCATTGTCATTATGCGTAAAGTACACATAGATGGGGGCGGTACTCGGCAGGGGGCGTGTCATAAACAACAGCACACACACACACTATAATCGCTCCCAGATTGCTAGAGAGAATCCTTCGAGCTCGGCGTATTATTACCCGTTAATGGTGTGTGGCATTTAATTGGTAATCTATTAGTGCGAAGACGCCAGGACCCTGAGGTGAAATAATTTAGACCTAGATACAAGTCAGTCACATTGTACTAGGTCATGGGTTGGGCGAATTGATTTAATTGCCTGGAATTTGTCTTAATTATAAAATCAATAGGCAAACAAAGGCCTGTGGAATTCGCACAAGAATGAGCCGCTTAATTAACCAGAATTTCTATTTTAGTTCAATGGAATTCACTTTTATGTCAGGATGTGTTCGGCTTTTTGTGATGTGGTGTTTCCGATACACATTTTATGGTTTTGTTACGCCTTAATCGACCGTAATGTAATTAAATGACGGGCTCAAAACGTCAATCGGCAAAAAGGCAATCAAAACAAACTCCAACTATGGCAAAAAGCAAGCGGGATGTAAAGAAAATTACGCAAAAAGTGCGGCGCATAAAAAAAAAAGCGGGAAAGAAAAACAAAAGACTTTCGGAATAGAATTTGCATCGGTAAAAAAACGAATTCTTTGAAATATTTATGTACACAGCAACATAGTGAGGCTGTTGACTTTCATTACCTTGCGCAAATAGAGGGAAAGTCATTAAAAATTTTAATGAAGAAAGTTTTTTCCATTGTTTCCCGTTGTCATCACCGTCATCGTCGTCTTCGGCGCCGCCTCAACTTGATATTTAAATTTTGTTTTGTTAGCAGTGCTCCGCTTTATTGTTAACAACAATCCGCATCCGCACTCGCATCCTCATGAGCGGCAACTCCTGCGCCCGGCGCATGATTTATTACAGCGATAAAGTGATTAAATTAAAATTGATTTATATGGCAGGAGCAACGAGGACAACTAGCAGACGGATGGCCCTTATATCCTGATTATGTTCCCTTGCTTATTTTCCCCAGCAAAAGGCAGAAAGGCAGCGCCGCTTTCAAAGTAAAAACTTACTAATTTATGCAAAGCAGGCAGACTGCTTGAGGCTCTGCCCTTGGACAACATGGCGTATGATTAACCTAAATGTTCGGCCTGATTTCCCCTGCTTTACATTTAAATTACCAAACTAAAAAAATATCGCTCGGGGCTTAAATTATTTCCCGCTGAGAAAAAGGTCCTGTTTTCGTATCCTTGTATGGGCCATGTAGCTTGTTTGCTTGTGGCTTGTAGCTTGTTTTTCCTGGCCAAAAGAACAGCAACGCAACTAATTTTCCCAGCACAAATAAAGAGCCAAATAAATAAAGGGAAATGGACAATCTTATGCCCAAGCCATCTTCGAATTTAGCCAACTTTATTGGGTTTTGGAACCCAATTGGAATCGACCTGCCATAAAAACTCCTTTGGTTCTGAGGCAATGCAACTCAGTTGCCAATTCAAGGGGATGAAAGCCAAACTCCACTCACCGTCGGATGCAGTTCTTCCTGTCTGTATCGATGCCAGAATTTTTCGTCCCGTTGCCCCGAAATGATGTCCTTCGCCCTACTCAAATTTTCCGGGGGCTTTATTTTTTATTTCTTATTTTTTGCTGTCGCCTGAGCGGCTGTTGTGGTTCTTGCACTGACGTTGCGGTCCAAATTGAATTTCACTTGGAAAATATACGAGCATGATTAATCACTTAACGGAGGAAGGATGGTCGCAACAGGACCAAGGATAAAACCCGCACAAGCCGAGCCTCACATGGGGACCACATTCCATTAACTCGTTTACTGCAACTGATTCGATTTGGCACATTCCGGCCAGCCATTAGCTTTTAAGTACCTTTGTTTAAAAATGTTTATAAATTTAAGAATTCCCTTTTAGCGGAAAGGTACTGCAGACCAATTGAAAAATTTTTATTTTATCACTTTTTTTATTTTGCGACTAAGATATTGAAATACTGGAATAATAAGTAAAGATTTATTTTCTGGAACTAAAAAAAAAGAACACCAAGACCATAAGTCAATTGGAACAAAAATATTCTCGTAAAGAAACTTGAAAATGTCCGCTTTAAATATTAAACTGTCAAAAAAATTTGAAAAGTTTTAAAATTTAATCAACTTAGGAAATGTTGTTCTATAGCTCCACAATTTTATCATAACTTGTTCAGTCCATAAAATGGATAAAATTTTGAAATTTTTTTATACCATTTAAAAATTCTTCTGCTTCAGTAACTTTATTTAATTTCACTTTATTTTTAATTTCATCACTCCGCGTTTTTGAACGACACCGTGTTCATTCATTCACTCTGAGTTTGCTCGCGAATTTCATTCACAAAAATTAGATTTTGGGCAATTGGCGGTCCATAGACCAACGCGACCAGAACGCCACTGAAAGCGACTGAAGGCAGCCGAAAGCGGAGGAAAGCACGCGGCCAGGACCTGCCACGAAGGCTCACAGCACAGGAGTGACGAGGGCACTCGGCCGAGGACTTCGTTTGGGTCTGAGTGGAGTGACGAACTGGCAGGATAGCACACGAGGACGATGATGGCAGCTCTGCCTGCAAGAAGCTACCATTGACGGTTCGCTGGGAGGCAGCAGCAGCCGACCCACAGCCCACGACCCACACAATCACACGAACACCCAAGCACACACACACACACACTCAACCACTCGCACACAGGGACATTTGTTGCAACCGCCAGGAAAACTCGAGTGGCGTAGCACACTTTTGCGGGCCGCTCGCTCGAAACAGCATTTCGTCCTTCGGAAAGGGGTCCACAGCCCGGCATTTTCCCAGCTGTTCGCTTGGCGCCAAAATTCTTTGCCGCCTTCGCGCAGACGCCAAAGTGTTATACTGATTTTATCGTACGTTCCGTAGAACAGTTTTATCCAGGAGCGGTTCAAAACAAAAATCAGTTTGACTCTTGGTCTACGTTTATCTATAATTAAAATTCCTTCACTTAAAATATTTTTTTGTTACCAGAATTAAGTACCTCAGAAAAATATAATAATAAAAATAAGTAAAATAATTTTAGAATCTTGTTGTAATATTTATATTTCCTTTTAAATATATTTACCAAGCGTTAACTCACACCCCTACATTCAACAATTTTTTGTATCCTTTTTACACCCCTCCACCTTTAGCGAAGTGAAACATTTTGGGAAAAAATGTGGCACGTGAAATACTTGTCCACCAGTTTGGCACATTAGGTATTTAAAAAAGTTGTTAAGCAAACTTTCAAATTAAATACTCCGGGCTTAAATTGTGCGAGCTCCCCTGGCACACGTGTATTCCTAAAGGGTCACAAGGACCTCCGGGGTGTCCTGGTAACATTTAGTACTTGATGCCTGGCACAGTGCATTCTGCTCGCACTTATTGCATTTTGCATGTGTAAAGACCGTTTTTATTATTTCCCCTCACGTTCACGATGTGTGAAGAGCGCCAAATTAAGGAATTCTGTCTGCGAGAAGTAATTAAAATTGTGAAGAAAGCCATAATGCAAGTGTTTACATTTGAGAACTGCCCAACTAAAGCGAGTTGAGCACCTGGCAAAGTGTTTTAATTGAGAGCTTAAGTGTTATCCCACCCGGCAAGTATTCTAATATATGTTGATAAATTTTGTGCTGCCAAGCGAAACGAAAATGGGAAAATGCAAATGACAGGCGGCCTGGGATGAGATTAAGAATGCATGACATCAATTATAAGAAGTTTTCTTAATTTTCTTCCGTTCATAACTCACTTCGGGTTTCGCACAGCAACTTTTTCTCGAAGCCAACAACTCGACAAGGGCAAACGCACATGCACACATTTTCACAGAGAGCATTTGTTTATTCCTCGATTGCGTACAAACATTTGCATTTGCATAGACAAGTTAAAAGCATCTCCTCCGTGTCCGACCGCCCGATAAATCCACAGAACACTGGCCAAAAATATGGATAGCAAATGGTAAGTTTCTATATTCCGCTCACTTAAGCCAATTGTTTTTCCAAAATCTGAACTTCCATTAGAAATAAGTTGGCTTCTTGGCACACGAAAATACAATGTTAAAAGCATTTAGGTATTAAAACAATTCCCTTGTAAGTTTCAAGCTTTTGTAAAATCTCAAAAATATATTGGGTAGTCCTTTTTTTTTATCTGCACAACCGAAGGACCAGAATCAGGAGCAGAACGAACTTCCTGCTGCCTGAATGCGCCTGAGTCAATGCAGCTGCCGCTGCAAATGTGTGGAAAAACTACGGCCACCCCGTTTTCAGCATGCGAGATTGCAGATTTCATATGCAAATTTTGCACTTCTTCAGAAAATTATTCAAATTACTTGCAAGCGACAAGCGTTCCTCTTTCACTCAGAACAAGTCCTTGCCGCACCTTTTCTATCCTGGCGTGGATATAAACAAAGCACCTTTCCCGGGGACCCAAACAAGTCAACAGCCTTGGCCGTTTGACAGCCCCATCGATGGGAAATCCTCGCCTGGGAGACTGAGACTGAGAAGGAGTAGATGCCGGGCCATCAATCAGGCAAAATGGCAAATGGCGGTTGAGGTTCATGGCTTGTAATCCCTTAATATTATTAAATAATTAACACGCGTTGCTGGGCTTGTTTATGGCAGCTTAGCGACCGGAAGTGATGGAGCCCAGGCTGGGTGTTCATTCTTCTAGGATTTAACCATCAAAAGATAAACGCAATTACGGAGCAGTTTGGAGCTGTGCGAAGACAAAAGCCGCGGCGCGAAACATGCAAATTAGCGTGGCAGCGAACGAGTTAAAGTTCGCTTTTGAACCGAATTTGCATATTTAAATGGCATTTTGCCAGACACTTGACAGTCTAACTGGCAGTTGGCAACATTCAGTTCCCTGCTCCTTGCTCCTCGTTCCCCTTTCCTTCATCCTTGCTCCATGTTCCCTGCTCCTTGATCCTGTCACTCCACGGCGACGGTGACAGTTGGTGCCTCGTCACGTTTCTGTTGGCTCATAAAAGTGAGATTGAATTTTGAAAGGGTGGCCCACGGAACTCCTCCTCGGCTGGGGAATTGCCTTAACTTTTCCATCCTGGGTGTCTGCGCTAAATAGGCCACATGAACTTGAACCCTGCCACAAGGAGATGATGTTGATGACGACGACGACGGCGATACCAAATTGTTGCACACGCGCAGCGAAGCCAAAGTTAAAGCGAAAGTGTGGCCCAAACTTTCTGGCGAAAGCGGAAGTCATTAACGTCTGGTCGGAGTCGATTTAGTGTGTCATGTGGGTGTGGTTGTGCCACCGCTTTATTTATAACTACTCATCAGGAGATTTAAGTTTGCCACTGTTTCCCGGCCACTGTGCATAATCAAGAGCGCTGCCGGATATATTTCACGACCCAAGGCGGTTTAATCAGCCGGATCGCAGCAGCTTAACCATAACTTTGAGAATTCAAAGTTGCGGAAAAAAGGTTCAAGACAGTTGCGCTTCAAGCCATGGGAATGGGATGTCTGGGAAAGTAGAGCAAATTAGAACAGCTTTAACCGAAGGCCGATAGGTTGAGAACGAAATCCGCTTTGAAATAATTACACAAATATATTCGTATCCGTTTCATATTGTTCCATATAATAGTTTAGATCAATATTGCTGCAGAATATATTTTAAAAACCAATAACACAACCCATGTAAACAAGGTTCTGATGTGTATGCCATGCAAATCAATCCCATGTTTCAAACTCATTTAGCTGGCAGTATTGGCAAGGATATACCTGAATTATTGGTCATCAATCAATGTTGGAAATTTGGAAATTTGTCATTTTCCGTGCGCGGCTTGGACAACCACCTATATCGCCTGAATATGGTCGAAAATTGAGGACGAGCGCACAAATCAATTGGCATTCAGTTTCTCGGCAGAGAGACGCGATGTTTGATTGACACAACGCTAATTGGCGACCTGTCGGGTTGTCCATAATGCCAGGATTAGCAGGCTTACTCGCATGTGTGTGTGCGCTTGCTTATATCCTTGCGGGTGGTAATCAGGCATCGAGCAGTGCTGCCATTTTGTCCTTTTTCAGACGAAAAACCGTGATTCTTTTAACAAAAAAATACAAGAAAATTAAGTATATTTCTAATGCTTAAATTAACGAACAAATTTGGATTTGTTTGCACAAAATCAAAAATTAAGGTCATCCTTTGTTTAATCGTTTCTACCAGTTTGTTTATCCAATCCTTCTTTGGACGGAAGCCAACCCAATGCAAAATGGCATCATCCGATTTTCCCCTAAGTCGACTTCAATCCCTGGCGCTAAATGCAAGAGTCCAGAAAATCAAATCACAAACTTGGAGCATAGTTTGTTGGCCAAATAAATCACGCAGCCAAGCCATCGGGATCCCGGCAATCGATGGAGACAGTTGACAAGGACACGGAATGCACGCAATGATAAATCGAAAATATTTTCACTTGTTTACACAAAACAATTCGGGGCGACAGACAAACGACCGAAAGCTTGACAAAAATGTCCGACATCTTCCCCCAATCTTTTTCTTTTGACCAGCACTCAATAAAAAGTAACACAGACTCCTCCAACTACAAGTCGTTGACTCTTACACTGGGAGAAAAAATTAAAGAAAATATATAGGGATTTGATAACGTAGGATTAAAAACAATGAGGAAGTTTCAATAACTACATATCATATGTTGACTTTCCTTACTAAATTTATTGTTATCAAAGGCATCATTAAGGCAGTGGTCTGCTTTACAGACTTCAAAAAATCGATTTTTTTTTTTTGTCTTAAATCTATTCCAAAACTATCCAAGAATATGTGTTCAAAATTTTAGAGGCCAATTCGACATATTTTCGAAGCTAGATCAGTTTTAGTGGCCGAGTGTCGAGCAAGTTCGTATGCTCGGGCAGACTTTACAGCCCGTTTTCTCGAGTTTTTATTTTCACAAGTCTTGGAAAGCGGTGCCGGCCATAGTAAAAAAAATATATGTGCGATCGAAAAAAACCAAAGTGATCTAGCTTCAGTATTGTATTATCTTCTATTTGAAAGATAAAAGTGGATAAAAGTACTTTTTAAATTACTTGTTTTGCAACTTAAAGTGAACTTTTTTTTCCAAAAAAGTGAATTTTTTTTTTCAAGCTTAGAAAAAATTTGGAATTTCGTCATTTCTTCGGAATTTTTTTAGTTCATATAGAAAAGGAACTTATAAAAACTAAAAAAAAATTGGTTCCACTGATTCAGATGCATCGCACGAACTCCATCACCGGCACCGATTAACAAGTGCACACTCTAGGCGCCCCAGAAAAAGCGTTACAACTTCCGCTAATTTCAATTATTTGCAATAATAAAAATTGTTTTTTAAAGTTTAAATATAATATTATATCGTCTCAAAATTTCGTTTACCGCAATCATTTCCTTCCCTTTCAAAAAAATTGTTGAAAAAACGCTCTTTTTTCGGCTCCTAAAGCAGACCACTGCCTTAAAAGGCTGTAAAGTATGAATTAATTTCATATTTTCTCAGATTAATTACCATAATGTTGTTTGCATAAAATCTTACGTTAAATAGTTTTTTTGAATGTAGCAGCTCCGTTTAATGAACGAACAAACAGTCGAGCCAACGGAGGATTACGCTGCCAATGGACAGTGACTTGCACCATCCCCTGCCATCCAGAATCGAGTTGAGTAAACAACTTGCGCGTCCTTGTCCACTTTTAGTCCTTTCGCCCACACTGCTCCTTTCGAGTGTTAATTGTGTGCGTGATTTAAGCTTTGTCGAGGCAGGAAACCAGCCAGGATCCACCGCCTCCCCCTTGACCATTTCGAATAATTGCTTTTTGATTGAGTTCAATGCTGCGGAGGCTTTCCTCTGCGCTTAACTTAAATTTGAATTCCCAATTTCCTCGCAACAGCCGAACGAGGCGCATCCAGGATATTTCTCTGCTCTCGAATAAAGTTATGTTATATCCTCTCGAATTTCCGCGGCCCCGTCGACCACTTTTCGGGGATTATGGAGGGAAATCAGGACTGATCCAGACGCAACAGGATCCCAAAAATGTTGGACGGTTGGGGAAGATGTGGCAGTTTTTGCTTCCTTATCTTAAGGATTATGCCGAGCAATCCTCGGTACATGGCATTCGATATCTGGCAGATCCAAAGATGAGGAAATTCGAGAGGTAAGTTGTGATAATTAAATAAGTATACGAATTTTCTGGGCTGTAAAATGGTAACCAAAACAGAGAATCTTATCTTACTAGCTAAATCATCAACTTTAAATTCTTTCTTTACTTTGTATATAAACTCAGGTTAATTTGGCTAGTCATTCTGGTGGCCACAAGCATTGGAGCCACTGTGGTTTACTTCGAACTGAACGAATTGTACCAGAATGTGCGCATTCACACCACCATTAAGAACACCATGCATCCAATTTTCCGGGCGCCGTTTCCTTCGATTGGCATCTGCCCAAAGGACCGATTGAACTGGGTGCTCCTGGAAAACGGAGCAGCTGAGCATTTCTTTGGGCCCAACGTTTCTGCCCTTCAAAAGGAAGTCTTCATCAAGTTCTTGTATGCAGCAGACGATCCACACCTGTCCCGCATCAGCGAGATGTCCAGCTTCTTCGAAAACGAAACTCTAGTTGCTAATCTGCATTTGCTAGATGGATTGAACCTCCGGGAAGTCTACGAGTACACCCAGTTCAAGTGCCAGGATATCTTTTCGAGCTGCCGCTGGCGGGGAAAGCTGGTGAACTGCTGCGAGATTTTCGAGAACCAATTTACGGAGTCCGGCTTGTGTTTACTCTTCAACTCAGCCATCACCAAAGCATCACGAAAAAGAGCGGTGAGTAGACTCATTCCTATTTGATTTTAAAGCAAAAAATATATTTATTTTCGAGTTCAGGCGGAGGATAAGTACTATCCCCTCCGCACTCCGCAGTACGGCGATGGTTGGGGTCTGGATATAATTTTCAGACTGAATGACTCGTATATTCGTCCCGGAAAACGTGGCATATTCGTGATGATCAAGCAGCCGGAGCAGTGGAGCGACGTGGTGCGCCACGTGCCCCATGATGCACACACCCGGGTGAGTATGGTGCCCCGATACACGATCACGGATGCCCGAGCCCGTTCCGTAAGTCCCAAAGTCCGGGGATGCATCTTCTGGGATGAAACCGACGCCCCGGAGTACAAGAACCTGCCGGGATTCGAGTACTGGGTGGGAAACTGTCGCTCCAAATGCCACCAGGAACATGTCGTCAATCTGTGTAATTGCTCGCCCTCCATCTTCTTTCCCGTCACCGATTATGGTAAGTATGGAGAAATATTACTCAAGAATTTATTGGGAATTCATTGTAATTTCTACATATGTTCTTTTTTTCATTTTTGTTATATATATTAGATAATATTACAATATGCAAGGCTTCCGACTTCAAATGTCTGTACGACAACAGATGTGAGTTATTTTTAACAATATTGGGTAAGAATTCACCGAAAATTTTTACTCCAATTTACAGTAGTCTTCAGCAATGAACGGCATCCGGACGAGAATGAGTACGTTAAGAATTATTTCAATGACAGCATGATTTGTGATTGCTTTACCAGCTGCAAACAGCTTATTTTCGAGCGCGTTTTCACCTCCACTTTCATGGAGTAAGTAAAAAAATATCGAGTTCGACTTACAAACCAATTAATAACGCCTTATAAACCTTTGTAAAATCCTCTTTAGTTATAATGAAACTAACACACAGGTGGGTTCAATGCGTTTGGACATTTTCTACCAATCCGGTTGGTTTATCTCATATCAGACCACCTTGAGATTTACCTTTGTGGAACTATTGGGTTGGTTGAACATCTTGACTTTTTCCGATGGAACTTCCTTAATTGTAAATCTATCTTTTCAGCTAGTTTTGGTGGTGTAATTGGACTTTTTCTGGGCGCCTCTTTGCTGAGCGCCTTTGAATTGGCCTACTACTTCTCAATTGGTCTTTACCTATACATAAAGGACAAGAGCAAATTGAAAAAACCCAAAATTATAACAGTACCTTTTGGTCAAAGGAAAATTACACCGATTAAGTATATACGATAAACTTTTAATAAATGTTTTGAAAATATTAATATTCATAAAATACATTTACCAGACATTTTTTCTGTGCTGAAAGGGATGTCTAAAGATACTTTCACCAATATCCTTTTGGGATGCAGAATGCTCTGCTGCTTGGCCAACTTCATTTTTAACATAGCTTTTAAAATTCCGCCACTTAAGCCGCATTTGATTATTGAAGGCCCTGTAGTATTTGTGGTCATATAAGTGCATGGCAAGGCCCACAGTTAGATAATAAAATAGTTCAAAAGCACTGACCATAGAAGCTCCTAAACAAAGGCCAAAGATTCCTCCTAGATTGGCTAAAAAATAAACAGAAATTTAACGAAATTATATAGTCTTCGACCTGAAATATCTGACCTATCAAATCGATAATGGTGAATTCCAAACTGGTCCGATACAAGGGAACAGTCTCCACCTGATAGTGCACATCCACCTTGAAGAGTTTTTGTGTTGGATTTTTGGGGCTGCAAGAAGCGGTTTCTTACAAATCAGGAAATCTAGAAAAGGTTACTATAATTTGTACAGTCTATGGGCAGGCAATGGCAAAGTGGTTGTGGCAATATAATAATCCACCAGGTAGCAGTTCACCAAACAAGAACAGGTCATTCCCGGCTTTGTGGCACTGAAGAGTTCATCCTCGTCCTTTCGTTTGTCGTAGCTGAAAATGTCTGCAACGAAGGGCTATTATTTTCGGAATTAATCTTTTTAAATCACTCTAACCATTGTGACGAGCCAGGCACCGCAGGCTAGTTGCATCGCATTCCTTAACTGAAAGGAAAAGATACCTTTTTATACTCTATAAAATTTTTTTTAAGGAAAAGAATACGCACCTCTAGAATTTAGCAAGAAGAAAATAGGAAGGGAACAGTTGCAGAGTTGAACCAAGTAGGATTCGTGGCATCTGTTCAAACAGTTGGTCAGCTGAAAGGGTTTACCATATTTCTTGGCAGAATCGTGTGACTCCAACTCAAGCTGCTCGTCCGCAAAAAGGCAATTCCTGCGCTCCGGCGGAATGCTACGGGTGGTCTCATCCGTCTACGTGATATCCGGACGGACAGTTACGTAAGTCTCCGTGTTTTGGGTCATTGAATAAATAACATTCGTCAACTGATCGGGCTTTTTTATCATTACCTAAGGATGAATTTAATGAGATTTTCGGTAGAGACATCTAAAATGTAAACTTACATAAACATTATTGTTGGCCTGGGAATCGGGTCGCTTGAAATTCTCTTTGATGATCAGATCAAAATTCAATCCCGTTCCCTGACCAGCCTTGGCATTATGAAAAGGGTAAAAATTGAATCCTTCCCTTTGTCTAATCGCCTTGGAGCGTGGAGAAATCTCAGAATTGAAAACCAAACAAAATCCATACTCTGTCTTTTCCAACACAAAGTAATCGCAACAGTTGAAGAAGGAATGGCGCCAAACGCAAGATTGAGCCACCATAATGTCCTCGCACTGAAGTGTTAAAAAGATGGCTAATTGAGTCAGATTCAAAAATCGCACAATCTCCAGATTATCATCCTCCAGGTCCGACAAATTCGCCAGATAATCGCCAAAACGTAAGGTCTCTAGTCGAGAAACCAAAACTGTAAAACTATCAACGAGTTCCTCACTGGGATTTGAAGGCAGAAACTGCTTCTTGGCCGCCTCCAGTTTGCTCCAATCGATGCGATTGTCCGTGCAAATGCCCACGGCTGGAAACTGGACCAGAAAAACCGGGTACTGCGGATCATGGACCACTGTCTGTTGTTTCTGGGACACAAAACGCTCGGAGAGAAGGAGGTAAAAGAAACAGGACAAACCCACGCTGGTGATGAGCAAAGCGCACCAGATGAGTCTGCAGGTGGAGATTATTAAAGATATTTTTAATAAAATTTGTAAGGAATAAAATTAAGTTTTTAAAGAGTGTTGCTATAGAAATATTCTGTAATAAAAATGTTTGTGAAGCAGCGCTTAGTTCCTTTAAAAATATCGATTAATATTTGCTCCGAAATCAGTGCTAGAACACACCTTTCCACATTGTGCAACTGTGGATCGTACAAATAGCGCACGCAGTGAATTGTTGACTTTTCGCAGTAGCTGCGGAAGTGGACTCTTAGCAAATCCACGAGGCACTTGTCACTGCCACCGACACTGGCTGCCTGCACCGATTTATCTCCCCTGGCCATTCTGGAACTGAGTCACTCAATCACTGAGCTTTCGCCCGGAATTCGGGGATCCCTTTTATGGCCGCGGACATGAGGCCGGTTGACTCGTAAATGCGTATGGCAAACTTTCACCGGTCAGGCCATCCATTATGGCTCACAAGCTTTGTAATTGAGTAGTTATGTTTCCTGCCACTGATAAGCCCGCTGACAAAAAGGGTCTGTCGAATACATTGATTAGCGTGCAGAACTGCCAATTAGCCCCGATTTTCCCACATTCATAGTTCAGCGCCTGAGCGAAATGGGAGAAATTGGGTTGAAACCAGAACTCTCCTTCGAGGATAATGATGATGACCACCAGGAGTCAAAGAAGGGAAAGAAAAAGGAGGAGAGCCGATGGGTTTCAACTAGGCGGTAAGTGATATTTTACCATATTATCCGTCATCAACAGTTCTATAAAAAAAACACTGAAAATGATACAAATTTGTACTCAGTCGGATATCTAGCAATTGGAAATGTATACACCTTTCCAGTATACCTAAAATATGCATGGATGACTATCCTCGATTTAAATTAATATAATTTCACAGATACGCTAGACTCCCATTAAAAATTATAGCCCTTTTGGCCACTGTCTATGTGTGTATCCTGTCTTCGGAGCGGTATTTCTACTACTGGGTGCAGACCTCCATAGAGAGGACCGATATGCATGTGTCTGAGATCCACTTTCCAGCTGTTACCATTATCCCAATGAATGTCACCTGGTACAATTTATCGCAGGAATCGCAAAAACTCAACAAAGCCTACAATTTGGTGCAATCTGTTTTATGGCAGACCCCCATGTCGTTTAGTTTGACGGAGGAGAACTTTACAGAGTTTTCAGACATTGAAACCTTAAACGTTAGAAAATGGGCAATCTCCGAGTCCTGGCAGCTTAATTGCAAACATTTCTTCGCGGAGTGTCAATGGCGCCGAAAACCAATAAACTGTTGTGATATTTTTCGTACTGGAAAGGCCTTAAATGGGTTCGCCTTTGTGTTCAACTCGCCGCTCGCATATAACAAAGTCGAAACTTGGCCTTGGTCCGTTGCTGGATCGGGATCTAAGTCTGGGCTTAATGTAAAAATCAAACGGCAGCACAGCCAATACTACATACATTCATTGGGGGTAGGTTCTTTTATCTATTGAATAGTCAAAAACAAAGCTAACTATATCTACTTTTTACCAGGTTATAGTACACGAGCCCAGTCAACAACTGGGCAATAGCATTGATTATTCTTCAGAGGAACGAATTGTGATTCCAGTGGAACCCCTTCGATTCACTGCCGAACCAGAAGTCCGAGCCCGTCCGCTACAAATGCGCAGATGTTTGTTTAAGGTAACATATGAAGAACTTAAACCAGTAGAAATTACTAACAAATTTACTTTAGAACGAATCCCTACTTTTTGAAACAGACCGCTCGGAATGTATCTCCACATGCCATTTTAACTACATGTTAAAAAAGTGTAACTGCACATTGGATTTAGCAGTCAATGCCACTTTCGATGAAACAAACATCACGGATGTAAAGGAGAATAGTGGACAAAGGATTTGTCGTTTTAAGGACCTTATATGTTTTAATAATCATAAGCGTAAGTCTAAGAAGTCTTATTATGAACTAAGTTTGGAATACTTTATTTTAGTGGTCGATGAAGTCTGATGAAATTTATGTTTATCTATCAATAGTTTCCATGTTTTCAATGAGCAACATTATCGAGGAGTCCAAAGATAATGTCTTTACCACATTTGATTGTGGATGTTTTCCCCTGTGTGATCACACCCAATACCACACGTCCACCTACACCGAAAGATTAGTCAACCACAACAGTGAATCCACGGATATAGAGATAGATGTTTACTTCGAGGAGGAGACCCTCTTTTCATATCGCTCCGTGCTTCGATTTACTCTCATCGATTTGATGGGTAAGTCAGGAACTCTTTTTCGTTTCTAATTTAATCTACTCACCACCTTTTTTTAGTTTCCTATGGAGGAATAGCAGGTCTTATAATGGGCATCTCGGTGCTGGGTTGCTTGAATAACTTCTTGGATCGCTTCGCCTGTTGTCGCCTACCTCACAATTCCTAATGTGACACTGTGAAACCCCAGCCTTCACCTGCTGCGTTCTCAGATTGGCTAAAAATAAATAAATTTATATAAGAAAATGATATGGTCTTCTAGCTAAAATATCTGACCTATCAAATCGTTAATGGTTAATTCCAAACTGGTCCGATACAAAGGCACAGTCTCCACCTGATAGTGTTGGATTTTTGGGGCTGCAAGAAATGGTTTTTTATAAATCAGAAAATCCAGAAAAGGTTACGATAAATTGTACAGTCTATGGGCAGGCAATGGTATAGTGGTTGTGGCAATATAATAATCCACCAGGTAGCAGTTCACCAAACAGGAACAGGTCATTCCCGGTTTTGTGGCACTGAAAAGTGTGGCTATTATTTTCAGAATTAATGTTTTCAAATCACTCTAACCATTGTGACGAGCCAGGCACCGCAGTCTGGTTGCATCGCATTCCTTAACTGAAACAAAAATATACCTTTCTATACTCTATAAACTATTTTTGAAGGAAAATAATACGCACTTTTAGAATTAAGCAAGAAGAAAATAGGAAGAGAACAGTTGCAGAGTTGAACCAAGTAGGATTCGTGGCATCTGTTCAAACAGTTGGTCAGCTGAAAGGGTTTACCATATTTCTTGGCAGAATCGTGTGACTCCAACTCAAGCTGCTCGTCCGCAAAAAGGCAATTCCTGCGCTCCGGCGGAATGCTACGGGTGGTCTCATCCGTATACGTGATATCCGGACGGACAGTTACGTAAGTCTCCGTGTTTTGGGTCATTGAATAAATAACATTCGTCAACTGATCGGGCTTTTTTATCATTACCTAAGGATGAATTTAATGAGATTTTCGGTAGAGACATCTAAAATGTAAACTTACATAAACATTATTGTTGGCCTGGGAATCGGGTCGCTTGAAATTCTCTTTGATGATCAGATCAAAATTCAATCCCGTTCCCTGACCAGCCTTGGCATTATGAAAAGGGTAAAAATTGAATCCTTCCCTTTGTCTAATCGCCTTGGAGCGTGGAGAAATCTCAGAATTGAAAACCAAACAAAATCCATACTCTGTCTTTTCCAACACAAAGTAATCGCAACAGTTGAAGAAGGAATGGCGCCAAACGCAAGATTGAGCCACCATAATGTCCTCGCACTGAAGTGTTAAAAAGATGGCTAATTGAGTCAGATTCAAAAATCGCACAATCTCCAGATTATCATCCTCCAGGTCCGACAAATTCGCCAGATAATCGCCAAAACGTAAGGTCTCTAGTCGAGAAACCAAAACTGTAAAACTATCAACGAGTTCCTCACTGGGATTTGAAGGCAGAAACTGCTTCTTGGCCGCCTCCAGTTTGCTCCAATCGATGCGATTGTCCGTGCAAATGCCCACGGCTGGAAACTGGACCAGAAAAACCGGGTACTGGGGATCATGAACCACTGTCTGTTGTTTCTGGGACACAAAACGCTCGGAGAGAAGAAGGTAAAAGAAGAAGGACAAACCCACGCTGGTGATGAGCAAAGCGCACCAGATGAGTCTGCAGGTGGAGATTATTAAAGATATTTTTAATAAAATTTGTAAGGAATAAAATTAAGTTTTTAAAGAGTGTTGCTATAGAAATATTCTGTAATAAAAATGTTTATAAAGCAGTGCTTGTATCTTAAAAGTATATGGTTTAATATTTGCTCCGAAAACCATTATGGCTCACAATTTTTGTAATTGAGTAGTTATGTTTCCTGCCACTGATAAGCCCGCTGACAAAAAGGGTCTGTCGAATACATTGATTAGCGTGCAGAACTGCCAATTAGCCCCGATTTTCCCACAGTCATAGTTCAGCGCCTGAGCGAAATGGGAGAAATTGGGTTGAAGCCAGAACCCTCCTCTGAGGATAATGAGGATGAGCACCAGGAGTCCAAGAAGGGGAAGAAAAAGGAGGAGAGCCGATGGGTTTCAACTAGGCGGTAAGTGATATTTACCATATTATCCGTCATCAACAGTTCTATAAAAAAAAACACTGAAAATGATACAAATTTGTACTCAGTCGGATATCTAGCAATTGGAAATGTATACACCTTTCCAGTATACCTAAAATATGCATGGATGACTATCCTCGATTTAAATTAATATAATTTCACAGATACGCTAGACTCCCATTAAAAATTATAGCCCTTTTGGCCACTGTCTATGTGTGTATCCTGTCTTCGGAGCGGTATTTCTACTACTGGGTGCAGACCTCCATAGAGAGGACCGATATGCATGTGTCGGAGATACACTTTCCAGCTGTTACCATTATCCCAATGAATGTCACCTGGTACAATTTATCGCAGAAATCGGAAAAACTCAACAGAGCCTACAATTTGGTGCAATCCGTATTATGGCAGACCCCCATGGCGTTTAGTTTGACGGAGGAGAACTTTACAGAGTTTTCAGACATTGAAACCTTAAACGTTAGAAAATGGGCAATCTCCGAGTCCTGGCAGCTTAATTGCAAACATTTCTTCGCGGAGTGTCAGTGGCGCCGAAAACCAATGAACTGTTGTGATATTTTTCGTTCTGGAACGACCTTTAATGGATTCGCCTTTATGTTCAACTCGCCGCTCTCATATGACACAGTCGAATCTTGGCCTTGGTCCGTTGCAGCATCGGGATCTAAGTCTGGGCTAAATGTAAAAATCAAACGGCAGCACAGCCAATACTTTGTTAATTCATTGGGGGTACGTTCTTTTATCTATTGAATAGTCAAAAATAAAGCTAACTATATCTACTTTTTACCAGGTTATAGTACATGAACCATATCAATATCTGGGCATGGGCATTGATTATTCTTCAGAAGAACGAATTGTGGTTCCAGTGGAACCCCTTCATTTTACTGCCGAACTAGAAGTCAAAGCCCGTCCGCTACAAATGCGCAGATGCTTGTTTCCGGTAAGAAAAGAACTTAAGCTAGGAGAAATAGATAACACCTTTATTTTAGAACGAAGTTGAACACTTTAATCAATCCCGCTCGGGATGTATCTACAACTGCCATTTTGACTACATAATGCAAAAGTGTAACTGCACTTTGGATTTACCAGTAAAAATTGATTTGGATGAATCAAACATTACGGATGCGAAGGCGAATAACGGACTTAGGATTTGTGGTGTTAAGGACTTGTCATGTTTTTATAAGCATAAGCGTAAGTCTAAGAAATTGTATTTTTGTAGTGGTAATGAATTCCGCTAAAATTGTGGCTTATCTATCAATAGTTTCCCTGTTTTCCATGAGCAACATCATCGAGGAGTCCAGAGATAACGTTTTTACCACAGTTGATTGCGGATGTTTTCCCCTATGCGATCACACTCAGTATCATACGTCCACCTATACGGAAAGATTAGTCACCCAGACCACAAAATCCGCGGAAATAGAGATAGATGTTTACTTCCAGGAGGAGACCCTTTTTCGTATCGCTCCATGCTTCGATTTACTCTCATCGATTTGATGGGCAAGTTAAAAACTCGTATTCATTTCCTATTCAATCCACTCACCACCTTTTTTTTAGTTTCCTATGGAGGAATAGCAGGTCTTATAATGGGCATCTCGGTGCTGGGTTGCTTGAATAACTTCTTGGATCACTTCGCCTGTTGTCGCCTACCTCACAATTCCTAATGTGACACTGTGAAATCCCAGCCTTCACCTGCTGCGTTCTCACGTTTCCGCACCAACCTGTAATCGAAGCACACACAAATAAACACTACACCTGGTTCTTGGGACCTAAACACATAAATAAATCCAAACCTAAAACGCATTAGGAGAATCGTTTTGAGTTGAACTACCTGCACCGCCAGTGGAAAATTTTCAAGTGCAGCCCTAAACAGAGAAATAAAACCTAAGGGTATCGAACGGAATAATGTAAACATATAAAATCCAATATTGTTTTTCAAATGCACTCAAAAAACGTACAATTTTAATCTGAATTGCGTTAAATTAACTGGAAAGTATCTATACAACTGTAAAATTACTTGAGATTTAACATCCGTTAATAAATATTTTTGAAAAAGTATTTTATTATATTTACTTACCAATTATTAAATTTATTTAATTTCTTTAAGTGCACCTATATAATTGGTAATGTGCTGAGCTTGCTTAAAAATTTTTAATAGTTTTAATAATCTTTTTTTTTTGCACAACAAAAAAATGAGAAACCTACCAAATTGCCAGAGATTAACGGGGAGCAGTCTTATCAGCAGCTCAGCCCAAAGAGGTTATAAGATGGCATCCAAAAATTCTTTGTTGTCCAATTGCGGACACCACAAAAGCATTAATGCTCGCTTCACAAAAGAATCAAATTCCCCACACTTGGAGCATAAAAAGCGGAATCGAGAATCACAATCTCGCCTTTTTCGAGACCCCTCAGGTACCAAGTCCAATCTCCGAACCGCACTCAGTTCCCTCGATGAAGTATAAATAGCGGCCGTCTGGCTGGATTTCTCAACAGTCTTCCCTCGATCGCTGAACGAACAACTTAAAGAAAGCAATATGAAGGTTTTCGTTGCCATCTGTGTGTTGATCGGCCTGGTAAGTGACTGGCTTGGTTAAACCCTATCTGATAACCCATTGAACCAGCCCTAGAATCGCGAATCTAATTTACTGTTTTACGGTTCACAGGCCTCCGCTGATTATGTGGTTAGGAACCGGAACGACATGCTGAACTATCGGGAGGAGTGCGTCAAGGAGCTGGCTATTCCCGTGGATCTGGTAGAGAAGTACCAGAAGTTCGAGTACCCCAATGACCCCAAGACCCAGTGCTACCTCAAGTGCGTCTTCACCAAGTGGGACCTGTTCGATGTGCAGAACGGCTTCAATGTGGAGAACATCCACCAGCAGCTGGTGGGCAACCATGCCGATCACAACGAGGCCTTCCACGCCACCTTGGCCGCCTGTGTAGACAAGAATGAGCAGGGATCCAACGCCTGTGAGTGGGCCTACCGCGGAGCCACTTGCATTCTGCGGGAGAACGCTGCCCAGATCCAGAAGAGCCTGGCCCCCAAGGCTTAGGAAGGTCTTCATAACACAAATGTACTGATAAGCATACATTAAGTAATAAAGTAAATGATTTTGTACAAAGTTCTGGCATCAGAAATGCTTTCACTTGTTGTTTAAAAAGCGACCGATTAGCTCAATTTCGGACAGTCTACCCGCGATCGCTGGACGAATAACTCAAGGAAATCAAAATGAAGGTTTTGATTGCCATCTGTATGTTCATCGGCCTGGTAAGTTATTGGCTTTGTTGAACACTATCCGATAACCCTACGAACCAGACCTAGAATCGCTAATCTAATTTACTGCTTTCCGGTTCACAGGCCTCCGCTTCTGTTTGGGTAACCCGGAACGACATGCCGAAGTTTATGGAGGAGTGCGCCAAGGAGCTGGCTATTCCCGAGGATCTACTGGAGAAGTACCAGATGTTTGAGTACTCCGATGATCCCAAGGCCATGTGCTTCTACCAATGCGTCGTGTACAGGCTCTTTTTGGGCAACCTTATTATCGACCACACCGAGGAGTTCCACACCGCCTTGGCCGCCTGTATGAACAAGATGAGCAGCGATCCAATACCTGCGAGTGAGCCCACCGCTTAACCACTTGTCTGCTGGAGGAGAACGCTGCCCAGATCCAGAAGAGCCTGGTCCCCAAGGCTTGGAAGGTTTTCATAACACAACTGTACTGATAAGCATAAATTAAGTATTAAAGTAAATGATTTTCTACAAAGTTCTGGCATCCAGAAATTCTTTTACTTGTTGTTTAAATAGCGGCTGTCTGGCTTAATTTCGGACAGTCTTCCCTTGATCGCTGAACGAATAAGTCAAAGAAATCAAAATGAAGGTTTTGATTGCCATCTGTGTGTTGATCGGCCTGGTAAGTGATAACCCTACGAACCAGACCAGGAATCGCGAATCTAATTCTCTGCTTTCCGGCTCACAGGCCTCCGCTGATGTTTTTTCGCTGGACCCGGACGACAGGCCGAAGTTTATGGAGGAGTGCGCCAAGGAGCTGGCTATTCCCATGGATCTGATGGAGAAGTACCTGGAGGTTAAGCACTCTGAGGATCCCAAGGCCATGTGCTACTACCGATGCATCTTGTACAGGATCTATCTGGGCAACCTTATTACCGACTACACCGAGGAGGTCCATGCAGACTTGGCCGCCTGTATGAACAATATAACCAGCGATCCAATGCCTGCGAGCACGGTTGCCAGATGTGGCTCTTTTGAGCCAAAACTGGCTCTTTTTTTTTTCTCGTTGGCTCTTTGGCCCTTTTTTATTGAATTTGGCTCTGGAAGTGGCAACCGTGCCTGCGAGTGAGCCCACCGCTTAGGCCCTTGTCCGCTGGAGGAGAACGCTGCCCAGATCCAGAAGAGCCTGGCCCCAAGGCTTAGGAAGGTCTGTACTGACAAGCATTAATTTTGCTAATAAAGTAATTGATTTCCTTTAAAGTTTTCTGGTTCACTTAAAAACATATACACTAATGCAGAAACTGTGTGTATCATTTACTAATCATAGAAAAATCTATAACAATACATGCTCAAGAAGTTTAAGAGCTCCAATTTGTTATGGATTATAGCACTTATTTCAAATGAATAGTTATGTACATATGGGATACTTTGGCAGCTAATGAGCGATAACTTCAGAAAACTTTTCCCATTCGTCATGTTGCTGTACACCAAGGAACTCGTGGCTCCGCGACCGAAGCCAGGACTGCTCCGCTTCAGAACCAAACCTCCTGGGATTAAGTATCGGGATAGATTGCGCAGCTCCTTTGCTCACTCCACCATCCATGGGATGCAGAATGTCTTTGCGGAGCCGCATCTCTGGCAGCGCTGCCTGTGGCTCACCATCGCTTTGGGAGCCGGAATCACCGGCTTGAGTCTGTACTCCGTGCTGCGGCATCGTCATAATGAGCAGCTCCTGGTCAGCTTGATAGACACCACCCAGTTGCCGGTGTATCACATCGATTTTCCAGCGGTGGCCATTTGCCCGTGGAGCCATGTCAACTGGCAGAGAGCTCCGTCTGCTTTACTCCGATTTCTGCCCCGAAATCCAAGTGCAGAGCTTCAAGAATCTTTCCGGCAAGTGCTCTCAGTCCTAGACGTTGTAAACTTTTCCAATTTTTATAGGGCACGGGCGCTCGGCGAAAGAAATCTCACAGAGTTGCGGTTTATGCCAATGCAAAAGTTGGTTAACTACCTGGCTTATCGATGTGATGAGCTGTTTGTCCCCGATTCCTGTGTCTTTGATGAGACCCCTTATGATTGCTGCAGGCTTTTCGTGCCAGAGCAAACGGAGCACGGTCAGTGCCTAGTCTTCAACTCCCTGATCTCAGAACACTCCCGCAAAAAGCAGCTGACAAACAAGTTCTATCCGTACAAGTTGAGCACCGCAGGCGAGGAATCGGGCCTGCAATTCACGATCAACTCCAGCAATTCGCACATGCGAGGCGGCATAAAACTCCCCTTTGGCATGATTGTTAGTGTGCTTCTTATCGTGAGCAACGGTATATTGTATTACTAAATTGATTTTTTTTACTTATATCAGCTCATGATCAAGGAACCTCGCCAGTGGTCTAATCAATTGACGTATCAACTTTATCCGGATACCGAGAACTTGGTGGCAGTGCATCCAATGGTTATGGAAACCTCTCACAACACAATTGACATGAGTCCGAGCAAGAGACGCTGCTTTTTCGATGTGGGTAGAGACCTAAACAAATTAATATATTCCAATCATTGCGCCTTTCTATTTAGTACGAAAAAAATGATTATTTTAAAGACAACTTGTTGCCGTACAATCGGGAGAATTGCCTGGCTGCATGTCTTCATGAAGTTGTGTTGAAGACTTGTAACTGCTCCACGCCAGTTTTTTTACCGCCGATTGGTAGGTCTACTGAAAACTGTTACTTAACCTACTTTAATATAACAATTTCCTTTTAAGAGGGTATTCGTGAATGTGGAATTTTAGATGCACAATGTCTGGGCGAAAATGCGGATATTTTTAGCTATGTCAAGACGGGCGACCAGGAGAAATACATTAACGACTCACGACGTGGACATACTTGTGTTTGCCCGGATAATTGTAACTCACGGCAGTACAAAATGACGCTTAATGTACGCAAGTTGGATTAGTAAGTTAAACAAAAATATAAATTCATAAGCTACTATATGCAATCATTTTTTAAAGCCCAAAGAACTCTACGGATACATTGATCAAAGCGCAGATTTATTTTGGTCAGCGAGTGATGACTAGAATTATAACAAAACTCAAGTACACAACTTTAGATTTACTCGCCAACTTCGGAGGCATCATAAGTCTTTATATAGGAGCTTCAGTCATGAGTTTTGTAGAACTATCAATTGTGCTGGGAAAACTATTGTGGATCCTAGTCAAGGATATGTACGCAAAATCAAAGAAAACAAACAAGTAACTTTAGTTTGAAAGAATTTGTATATTAACGCCACAAACAAGTAATAAAGAGAGTTCTCGAGGCACGTTATTTCTGCTTGGTTTCCTGGTCCGTCGGATACCGAATATAGATGGCCGGATGGGGAACGGTTGCCGGAGTCTCGGGCAGTTGGTCCAAATAGGAGCAACCGATGGCCAATGCGGTTCCATCGGAGCTAAAGTTCAGTGTGGAGATCGAGGTATCATACTCATGGAACTGGCACAGTCGTTTCTTGTTGAATCCGTCCCAAATGTTCACAATGCCATCTGATCCTCCAGTTGCGAAGGTTTGGTAAACGTTGTGGAAACTCAGCGCATTCACAGGGTAAATTTGTTCGATGTTCTGCTCCCTGTTTCGGTGGCACTTGAAGGCGAACTTTCGGCGCTGCACCTCCGGATCGTGATCCAGATACTCTACGGCCACTCGGCCCTCAATCGAGGACATCACATAGCCCTCTTTGTTGGGAAACAGGCGGATGCAGCGGGTCTGGTACTTGAGCGAGGACTCTCGTTTCATGATGTAACTGTCCATTTTTCGCAGATCCCAAATGAGCACTTTGCGGTCGGAGGTGGCCACCACGATCTTCTCGTCAATCACTGACATGGAGTAAACCTTGCCGTTGTTCTGTTCAAAGGTGCCCACACATCGTTTTTCCCGCATGTCCCACAGTTTTACGTTCTTGTCCCAGCTGCCTGTGAGGATGCCATTGACGTACTCAGCGTGCTCCACACATCTAATGGCCTCCTCGTGACCACCAACAACACTTTCCGTTTGGGTGTTGACATCGAAAAGACGGAGTTGGTTGTCCAGCGAGCCACTTACAACGTGCACGATGTCCTGTGGATCGGGGTTAAATAAAAGGTCGAGTATTTATATAGAGCTATCTCACCATAAAGGCACAGTCCAAAATCGGGGCTTCCTGCAGGAACTTCTGACGCATCTGATTTGCCGCCACATCGTAGAACCGCAATGTTCCGTCCCAGGAAGATGCCGCCATGTACTGATTCGATTTGGGGCCAAATTTCACGGCAGAGATCAGATCCTCCGGCGGATTTACAAGCTTAAACTCTGGCGGACGCATTTTGTCAAGATTGCAGAGTGAATACTAATTGAAAACTCCTATAATTCAAATTAAAACTGTTTAAGTGCAAAAGCGGTGGAATTTGCACAGCGTCTTGTATAGAGGTGTGACTCTTTCGATAGTGCTATCGATATATTAACTATTTTAGGTAAGGTGATTCCTGCAACTCGCTGTGTGTGTTATTATGGTTTATTTCGTAATACTGAGACTTGCAAGAGATTTGGATATTACCTGTGAGCCTAATTGAAAATTTGACATGCTTTGTAACCATTTTGCATAATTATTTAAAATAACTGCATTTCTATTTTTCAAAACGTAAAAGTAGTTCCGCCACCTGGCATCGATAACCGATTTTAAGCTATCGACTTGGCGCCATCTCTATAGAGGACGCTAAGGAATTTAGAAAACATATTTTTATTTTGCGGTAAATAAAAAAATAATTGCCATGGACGAAACACAAAACTTCCAGTTCGTCCTCCCATTGAACGCTTCTGACCTTACAAACTCCAGTGGGGATCAGTATTATGTGAAGGAGATATTCACCAATGCTGATATTCCTCAAAAACTGCAGGGTGAGTCCGATGGCGCGGGTTTATTTTAAAAATGGTACAGTTTTATCAATCTTTTAACATCTGAATATTTCTTGTAGAATGCAAACGGAAAGTTCACCAAGGCGATCCCTTCTATATATTTGATCACTTCGATATATATTTCTCGATCCTGGAGGGCCGAGGCTCCGAGTCGATCTCCTCACAGAATCTTATGAGGTCTTTTGATCTCTTATATTTGACGGTTGATAAGCTGTTTCAGGATCTACAACCTCTGCTGGTGGCTAGCGAGCCTATGTCCAACCAGCAGCGCATCAGATACCTAAATCTCACAAAGATGACTCTGTTCCTGCAAGTGAGCACCGTAAAAAGATCAACAATAGTGCCCAGCAAGCACTGCGGGATCAGCAGATTAATGTGCAGAAAAAGCGAGCTAAGCAGTCGGACACACTGGAGCAGTTTCCTCAGTGGGATGTCAAACGAGGCAAGTTCCTCGTGCAGCTCTTCAACGTACTCCAGTGCCCACTAGAAAAGCTTTGGAGTCCGCCCGTCGCGGAGGATGACTTTATTTCGTGAGTATCCATCCAGAAAATATAATTTTTCAAGTTTGACAATTTCCCCTTGAAAAACGATCCACAGATTGCTTTGCGATGTCTGCTATCGAACGCTCGAGTTGCAGCCTCTACGCCCAGATAACAAACATGTGTTTGACACAGTCTTTCAAATCCTTGGCACCTCTATTAAGCGCTATAACCAGGCCATGACCTTTCCGGTCCGGGTCCTGCAAATTCTGCGTGGCACTGAGCATGCGGCCGCATCCGTAGCCACCGGAATACTACTACTGCACGAGGAATATGGAATCTCTTCGGTCTTTTCTATTCTAATCAAGAGCATTGTGGACGCTTTGAAACTGGACAGCTCTGATTCCACTGTGTCCAAGCACTTTTCAAACTTTTTAGCCGAGTTCTCGAACATCGCTCCATCACTGATCGTTCCGCATTTGGAGAAGCTAGCTGATGACCTTCTGGATTGCCAGTCGCACACTTTGCGTAATTGTGTGCTCCAGATTATCGGCGACACTGTGGTTAGCGAACTGACCTCTGAGGATCTCAGCGAAGAACTGAAAGAAGTGCGCAACGAGTTTCTCGAGCACCTGATGGCTCACATCTTGGATATATCAGCTCATGTGCGCTCCAAGGTGCTAAGCATTTGGCACCACTTAAAAGTGCAGCACGCCATTCCGCTCAACTTTTTAACCCGAGTGCTGGAAGAAGCCATCGGAAGATTGGAAGACAAGAGCTCGATAGTGCGGCGTGCTGCCATGCAACTGATCAAATCCGCTCTGGAAAGCAATCCATACTGTAGCAAACTTTCCCTGGACGAACTACGCGCCAAGCATGAGCGGGAAGTTCTCGCCATGGAGAAGCTCAACGAGGTACTTGAGGAGGAGCGCAAACAGGAGGAGAACCTCAACGACGAGTTTAGCTCCCTTGCGCCCGAACTTCTGCCCTTTATCGAGGCCAATCTTACGGAGTGTATGTGTTAATTTATGCTTTGGTTGGAGGTATTTTATAAATATATTTTTTAGTTCCTGACATGCAGTTTGATAAAGAGGAAAGCGACGAGACATTACTAGAGAGAATCGTTCCACTGATGCGTGAGAAAAACTATAAGGATGTCATAGTACTGGTGAGAAAGGTGGATTTCTTAGCTGGCAATCAGAATATGAGGTAATCTTTTTATCAGAGATCTTTAGATTGTTGATCTGATGTTTTTATTTTTTTTTTTTTCAGCTCCTTGCTGAAACACGAAGAGCACTGTGTGTATGTGCTGGCCTTGTTAAAAACATATCACTTGCTGGCCGCCGGATTTAAGCAGAGCGTAGGTTTTTAAAAATGCAATGATATAACTTTCTACAAACTAATGTTCACTTGCAGAGCGAGGAGATGCTGCAACAGATTAAAACGGTCCAGTTTCTGAAGGACAGCATTGACTTTGCTGTGTTGATGACTTCGGCATTCCCAAAACTGCACGAAATGCTCATGTCCAAAACAAACACAGATGTTTTCGAGGCTGTTGATTTGTTCACCACAGGGTACATGTTTGGAATCCACGGTACAGAGTCAGGAATGCAGAGGATGTTGCAGCTGGTCTGGTCGTCCGACAAGGAGAAGCGGGATGCCGTGTCCGATGCCTACAAGCGGGTTCTCTTTTCCACGGACCAAACGGGGCGAGCTCACGCCATCCGAGTGGTGCAGAATCTGTCCAAGTTTCTCTCGGAGATCGAGTACGGCCACTACACGGCTATGGAGTCGTTGATGGCCGAGTGGGTGTCCGGTGGCGACATTGATGCCGCCGTCATAGAGGTGCTCTTCCAGCGCTTCACACTCAAATTGGAGGGTACCACTGCCAATGAATCTCGATTATCGCTTCAACTCCTAATCATGGCCTCACAATCCAAGGCCAGCATTGCTTCGGCCAACACCGGTATTATTGAAGACATTGCCACCAGCGAAAGCGTGCGTCGCGATCCTCGCATCTTCACCGGTTGCCTGCAGTTGCTGGTCAACTCCATCGATGCCAACAACAATGCCAAGTTCTACAAGCGCCACAACAGCGATGCGGAGTTTGTGGGAAGAATCACTCGGCTCTTTCTCGACTTTTTCTTTCACCAAAAACTATCGGACTTTGACAGTCTGGCCATGAGTGTGTTGGAGTATTACTACAGGATGTGCCAGGCGCCGGATGTGATTGCCCAGCAACTGGTGGTGGCGCTGCTGAAACGATTTAAAGAGAGCTGGCTCGTCAGAGAGGCGGCTGCTCCGGAGTCCTCCCCAGTAACGAACAAGGAGAACTTTCCCGAATCGCAACCGACAGACATTCCCTACTCACAGCCCCTACCGCTCACCCAGACTCAAACCGATAGTCCATCCCAGACGCACGGCGATCTGATGCCAGTTTTTCTGGTCTCCCGTTTGGTGTTCTGCATTGGGTACATGACCATCAAAGAGATGATTTTCCTTGACATGGACATCTATAACAACATGAAGTATCGCGACGAACTGACGGCGCTCGAAGAGCGTAAAAACCGTAACCAACAAGCGGGAATCGCAAAGAATGCGGCCAGGCAAACGCTTAATTTATCCGCCATGGAAGTGCGCAAGAGACTATCTGGAGTGGCGGCTGAACCACAGCAAGAGCCGGATGAGGACCTGGTAGGAGCCACCGCAGAGGATAACATAGCAGAGGAAATCCATGGCATTTGCGAGGAAATGCTGCTGTACAGCCCCGATGCCCTGCTGGCCAAACTATCGCCATTTATCATTGAGATCTGCAAGAAACCCGGAGAATTTCGCGATGCCAAGCTGCAACAGGCGGCAACCTTGACGCTGGCCCGACTGATGACCGTGTCCTCCCGGTTCTGCGAATCCAACATGAGCTTTTTAATGAACATCCTCAACCTTACGAAGAACATCCGGATCAAGTGCAACACAGTGGTTGGTTTGTCGGATCTCACGTTCCGTTTCCCAAATATTATTGAGCCGTGGACGGGTCACTTCTACGCCCAGCTGCACGAATCGAACACCGAGTTAAGATTGACTGCTGTCAAAATGCTGTCTCACCTGATCCTGAACGAGATGATTCGCGTGAAGGGACAAATCGCCGACATGGCACTCTGCATAGTGGACGAAAACGATGAGATACGCAACATCACTAAACAGTTCTTCAAGGAGATCGCAAACAAGTCGAATATTCTGTACAATGTTCTGCCGGATATTATTTCGCGACTAGGTGACATCAACCTCAATCTGGATGAGGACAAGTACCGCGTGATCATGTCCTATATCCTGGGCCTCATTCAGAAAGATCGTCAGATCGAGACGCTGGTGGAGAAGTTGTGCCTGCGCTTCCCGGTGACGCGGGTGGAACGCCAGTGGCGAGACATCGCTTACTGTCTTGGTCTTCTCACTTACAACGAAAGAGCGGTGAAAAAGCTAATGGACAACATGCAGCACTATAAGGACAAGGTCCAAGTGGACGAAGTCTACCAGTCTTTCAAGCTAATCATCAGCAACACCAACAAGCTGGCCAAGCCGGAGCTCAAAGCCGTGGTCACGGAGTTCGAAACCCGGTTAAACGAATGCCTGCAGGTGAATCCGGATGCGTCAGCGAATCCTGGGGATCAGCCCGCGGGCAGCACCGAAAGTCAGGCTAATAGAACCCGGGCGGCCAAGCCAAAGAAGGGCGGTCGCAAGCCGGTTGCCAGCAAGAAGACTTCTGCACGAGGACGCGGCAGACGAAGTCGCCAGGATTCCTCCTCAGAGGAAAGTAGTTCCAGTAGCGACGATTAGTTTCATAAAATTTTAATAGTTGCGGAGAAATTTCTACGATTTTAAACAGATTTGTAATAAATTTTTAACCTTTTACTAAGAGTCAATAAAAATATTTTAATACATTTATTTTTTCAAGTCAACAAACATCTAATAAACTCTACTAATATCCGTTTCCACATCCACCAAAAAGACAGGGAAAAATATTTGATTACACTAAACTACAGGGATGGGGAAACAAACACGTAAATGGCATTAATCTAGACGGTTTGGAAGTACTAAATTTGGTGGTCGCGTTTATGTTGTCTATGGGTTTCCAACAGTTGAGCATTGAGCACTAATTTACTTGATTTTCTTGCGAAGAGACCGCTGAGTCGCAGGACCATCGTCCGCGGTGCTCAACGCAATGGCAAACTGGGCGGCATAGTAGGTGATCATGATTTGGAGGCGGGCGAAGGGCACGGGCACTCCAACAAACATGGTGACCGCGATCAGGGCATCGGATATCACAAATAAAATAGCCCCAATGGCGCAGAAAATGCTGAGAAAGGTCCTCGAATCCACAGCTCGAGCCAGAGATCTCCACAACATGGTGGTTATAAGATAACAATAGATTGGCACCCCGATGATGAGGATCTCGTCCAAATTATGATGCACAAAGTAAACAACTGCAATACAAATGGGATTTTAAAATAAAATAAATAAACTTCAAAACTTATATGCACGTAATTTCTAAAATGTACTTTAAGTTTTAATAACTTACAAAGTGTTACTGCTATATAGAGAATAATTCCAATGAACCACTTTACAGGCTTCCATCCAAATGCGCTGATATAAAAGACGTGAGCCACTCCGAAGGAGATCATTCCAAAGGGAAAAAGATTTATGTTGAGCAGGGCATCACCACCGGAGGAGAAAACCAGGCCAAGGAGAATCCAAAGTGAGCGTCGATATCTGTACAAAATATATAGGAAATTGAAATCTTAACTAATGGACGTTATTAAAACTTACTCTTTTTTGAGCGAGATTCCCTTGGCCACCACATAGAACATCAGGGCCACAATTGGCAGACATTTCAATACTGTTGTCCATAATTCTCCTTGGGGATCTTTTCTAACCAGCGAGAAATACAGGACGAGGGTTACCAAAAAGGGCACCAACTTAGAGCCTTGCACTTTGGCCTGGAATTAATAAAAACTTTATTAAAAAATTTAATTTGGTTTTTTTTATAAAACAGCTAAAAAAAATAAAATAAAGTCATAATATTAAACCATTATAAAGGTAAACCGTTCATTTTCATTTCAACTATTTTTATAAAAACTTTGGAATAGTGGGCAATTTACTGGCAACACACCCTGTTAATTGGTTTACTGTAATTGGCTGAAAAAGCCCCCAGTATTTTAAATATTTATTTAAAGTTTATTAGACTTGTTGCTTGAACCCAAAATAGCTTAGGGATTATCGCTTATCGAACCGCGGAGGGTCCAAAATACAGCCAAACATTACGATTAGGCAAATCGAACTTTTTCGGCCTTGATTAGATTAAAGCGTTTCTCCTTGGGGTTGGCTTTCTATAGTACCACGTCAAAATTTAATGGTTTTATGGAGATGTAAATTTGCTTTTGGAATTATCTATTACAGTTTGGGGTGGGAGAGGGGGGTTCCAAAGGGCCGGTGCAGCCTTCAAACTTTCGCTTTCGGTGCAGGAGCTTTCAGAGTGCTCCAGAGAACCTGAAAGATGTGCAAGGTCAAGGACGAAGCTTTGTGTTCTTTTTATAGTTCCACTTTCTGCGGTTAGATAAAGCATCTGCAGTGCACGCACGCAATTTACTATATTATTTATGTTTATATAGCTGGAATACGCGTATCAATGAAACCTTAGAACCAAACTGGAATACCAGAACCTGAGTCACTTACAAACTGCCCGAAATCGTTCATTGCGGTCGTAATTAGTGCAAATTATAACTATTAAAGGCGGCTAAAAGTCTGGCCAAGCTGCACTTTCACACGATGCGAGCGCGAATCGAAAGTAAACAAAAACTCTAGCCCCCCGGAAAGAAAACAATTGAAAAGAACACGTTGAGCACGGGCGGCCAACGTCAATAAACTGAGGCGTATCACATATACTTTTTCGATTCGCTGGACTGGCGAGCTGGCGAACGCTGAAAAGTTTACGGTTTCTGGAGAGTAAAAAGTTTTCAGCCGGACATGTGGTGTGCAGCATATGCAGCATTCTGCAGATACCTTGCCACAGAAACAGCTACGGATACAGATACAGATACAGGGGGGCAGATTGATTATTTTCCACCTTTGTTATTAGTTGAGAGCGGCAATTCCGAGAGCGCTGCTCACGCAACAGGTTAATTGAGAAGTGACCATTGGAGAAGCTTTTTCAGACAGCATCAAATTAAGTACAAAATATACACATGCGCACTCGCTCGCACTCTCGCTCTCTCGCACTCTTTTTGTGCCATCCAAAACAATGCAACAATTTCTGCACACTTTCACTTGGAAAAGCTTTCACCGCGAAGCTTTGCTGCCCGCTAGACTTTTTCGCAACCTTATTCTGGCCAAAAGTTCATTCAGTTCCGAGTTGTGGCACTTTTCAGGCGTGCGAAAATTCCTCAGCAGTCCGAAAATTTCCACAACAGTAAAAGCCTCCACACCAAAAGTGAAAATCAAAGGGAAAGAATAGTGTACAAAAATTGTAGAATTCAAATCAGGTAATTTAAAGCCAAAAAGTATGCCACGCACGTACGGGTGCCCCAAGGGGAAAAACCTTGTGAAAGAGCTGGAAAATTGTGTATCCATGGGGGCTTCCTGTAAGCAAATACACACTCCTGTAAAGGAAGAGGGGGTGGTGAAAATTAAAGCTGACCAGTGTGACACACATCGGGCGAAAGCAGCTGACGGATGGGAAAAAGGAGGACACCTACGCTCCTCGTAAATTATGCAAAATAAAATTATGGTAATGCGGCTGGCCAGAAAGCAAGAGTGGAAGCCTTGCCAAGAAGGCAGGAAAGACTGGCACACACTTGACCTCCGAGGAAAAGCACTCGAGTTGGGCACACAAGATACTGCAGGGACATGGGCCCTTGTGGGCCAGTGGGTGGCGCACGTACCAACCCAACCGCCCCACCACCATACCACCCGGGCACCACCCCCTCTCACAAGTGCACGTTGAACTTGAGAAAAGAGCAGAGAAAAGCCCCCGGGCGGAAAGCCACGATACACATCGAATCAATGGCTGAGTTGCCAATAAAAACCCATCAAATAAGTTGCATTTTACTAGAAAATTTTGTTTAGATTAAATAACAGGTTTTACAAGTGTCATTTAGGAGCATACATTTACATTTATTTCAATCGAAAGTTATGCAACAAAATTACACTTTTGATTTAATATTTAAAATTCAAATTAAACTTTTTAAAGCTGATATTAACTTATGCATAAATGAAAATAATAACATCCAATTAAGTCATAGCTTAGGGCAGAAAGTAATTGAAAGTTCCAAACTAGGGAATGGGTTTAAGCCACGTATTCGTGGCCCATAATTGAATTGTTGGCAAAGCCACTAATACCCTGACACCTGTTTAATCCCCGAAATAGATCGAATAGAGGCCCCTTGAGCAGCGAGCACGCAACATGGCGTGTCCTTTCTTTAGGCGAGCGGATTCGCTGACACGCCAGCCGTCGGTCATCGCCGAACCCGGTGGCCACTGGGCGCTCGAGGACGAGGAGCTGTCGGATGACGCCCTGACCCTCACGCACCTCCAGATGGCCATCCAGCTTCTCACGGCGCCATCGAACGAGGATCTCAATACGGCCGTCACCTCCTTGGTGGCCAAGTACCGTCAGAACTGGCCCAACATTCACAAGCTGTAAGTGAAGATATCAAATCTAATTAGGAATTAGTCCCAGAAATTTCCTAATTTGTATAATATTTTAAATCCAATTTCACAATGAAACTTGTACCCCATTACACTTCCTATAAACTTGTAGCGTTTCTATAATAACCACTTCTATTCTCCCCCAGAAAACTGGATCCGCAAACCTTCAAAAGCTGCGCCAACTATGATTATTTGGCGGATATCCAGGAGTTGCTCTTGAAGATGGACGAGGCGAGTGCCAGTGAGATTCTGGTGCTTCTGGGTGAGGAGTTGATAACCTGTTGCTGCACGGGCATTATCGAAAGGGCCTTTCGCTGCCTGGGAACCGATCTTCAGGAGTTTCTGGGCTCCCTCGATGGCGTTTACGATGTGCTAAAGCTGCAGGAGGTGAGACATGAAAGAAGTTAATGTAAATTTATTTTCAAATACAATTTTTATGATATTCAGGAGGACGTAACCGATACTGGATTTGTTTGTGCCGGCGAGGGAGAGCTGATCTTCACCTCGGAGCGTCCAGTGATTGCCTGGTTGCTCCTGGGTTCCCTGAAGGCCCTTACCCGAATGCTTTACAAGGTGGATGTGAACATCAAGATCGAGCCCGTGGAGGGAGATGCCCGTCGGTATCGCTACCTCTTCTCCCTTGTCAAGGACAACTCCCAGACAATGCTGATGGGTCGTCCCTCCCTCGTGAGCAAAACGATCCCAGAAACCGTGCAACGCAGCAACTCGAGCAATGCCTCCGACTTGCAAATGAACTCCTCCAGCTTCTGCAAGATGTTCCCCTGGCACTTCATCATGAACGAGCAACTGGAGCTGGTGCAACTGGGCAGGGGATTCAGCAAGTTGTACAAGCCCTACATGGCGGACTTTGGCTGCCAGGCGACGACCTACTTTGACTTCAAGCGACCCAAGGGATTGACTATGAAGTTCAGGGACATTGTGAGGCGCACCTACACGCCCTTCCTGATTGGCTTAAATAATCCTCCGGGAGCAGTGGACTTCCCTGCCATTGGATTGGAGATCAAGGGTCAGATGGTTCATTGCCCTGAGTCGAACTCCCTGTTGTTCATTGGTTCGCCGTTTTTGGACGGCTTGGATGGCCTGACCTGCAACGGACTCTTCATTTCGGACATTCCGCTTCACGATGCCACCAGGGAGGTGATCCTGGTGGGTGAACAAGCCCGTGCGCAGGATGGACTGCGCAGGCGTATGGATAAGATCAAGAACAGCATCGAGGAGGCAAATTCGGCGGTGACCAAGGAGCGAAAGAAGAACGTCAGCCTGCTGCACCTCATCTTCCCCGCGGAAATCGCCGAGAAACTCTGGCTGGGCTCCTCCATCGATGCCAAGACCTATCCGGATGTGACGATCCTGTTCAGCGATATTGTGGGATTCACCAGCATCTGTTCGAGAGCAACTCCCTTCATGGTGATCAGCATGCTGGAGGGTTTGTACAAGGACTTCGACGAGTTCTGCGACTTCTTCGATGTGTACAAGGTGGAGACCATCGGGGATGCCTACTGCGTGGCCAGTGGACTCCACCGGGCCTCCATCTACGATGCCCACAAGGTGGCATGGATGGCCCTCAAGATGATCGACGCCTGCTCGAAGCACATCACCCACGACGGGGAGCAAATCAAAATGCGGATTGGCCTGCACACGGGCACGGTGCTCGCCGGAGTGGTGGGCAGGAAGATGCCCAGGTACTGCCTCTTCGGGCACAGCGTCACCATCGCCAACAAGTTCGAGTCGGGCAGCGAGGCACTGAAGATCAACGTCAGTCCCACCACCAAGGAGTAAGTAGTGGGTCTCATGGGGTTATCAGTTTATAACATTAAAAAAATCAAATTATAATTCTAATTAGTATCTTGTTGTTTAATATTTCTTTATATTAATTAATCTTTTTGATTTTCTAGCTGGCTAACCAAGCACGAGGGCTTCGAATTCGAGCTGCAGCCACGCGATCCCTCGTTCCTGCCCAAGGAGTTCCCCAATCCCGGCGGAACCGAGACCTGCTACTTCCTGGAGAGCTTCCGCAACCCGGCTCTGGACAGCGAGCTGCCGCTGGTGGAGCACATCAATGTGGCCATGAAGACCATATCGGATGGCGGGGATGCTTAGGAAGCCACTTCCTCGATCCGTAACCCCTCGATCCTCCTGTAGACCCACACGCTCAGTAGTCGTAGTTCGGTGCACTTGTATTGTGGTTTTGCCTGTTGCCCTGCTTAGCCTAAATCAATAAACTATCCCATTCGAATGGTTGCATTCCAGCACAATAGATGAACACACTTTATTTCTGGGATATAATGAACGAACTTAAGCTGCGGCCTTCTTCTTGGCCTCCTCCTTGGCCCTCACGAAGGCCTTGACCTTGTCGCCGATCTTGCTGGCCATCATGCACTTGTGTCCCCGGAAGGCCCAGACGTCAGTGGGATCCTTCTGCGAGTTGTCGTCGATGCAGCTCTGGGCGATCTGCAGGGCCTCCTCCTCGGAGAGATCCATCTTGAACTGCTTGGCCAGGCGGTCGGCGTGGTAGCCCATCTCGGAGCAGAAGATGCCCAACTTGGTGGCCGTGCAGGTCAGGTACTGACGCACCTCAGGCTCATCGGGGAAGACCAGTTGCTTCAGCTGGGCGATCTGGTCGTTGCTCAGGGGGTTCTCCTTCAGGCACTCCACGCGGATGCCCTTGATCTCCTCGCCGGTTTTGGGGGTCCAGTCATCGGCATGGGCCTGTTTAAAAAATTATTCATATAGTTCATTTTTGGTTTAATAAACATTTATAATGCAATGAAATCTGAAAAGCTCCAACTTGATGCCATTGAAACAGTAATAAAAAAATAAGTTGGAAACATTTATAGATACTTATCAAAGTAAATTATAAATGTATAATTTTAAACAATTAATTAAAAATTGAATAAACAGTTGCATGTCATGACTATCTCAGTATATTGTATTTAACAAAAAGTGTTATCAGTGACTCATTTGACAAAATTGTTTTGTAAGATCTTAAATGAAAACAAATTTGTAATCTCATTGGAATTATTCATATTCTACAAGGTTATGAGTACACGTCGAATGGAATCCCTGAACTTGCTTAACTTTTTTTCGAAATATGCTTGCGTTGTCTCTGACAATGTAGTAAACAATAAAAATAATATCATGTTGACATTCGATACGGGTTTATCACTAGGATAAATACAATCCAGTTAATAAATCCAATAAATTTGATATTGCATCTACACATTAAAATTTGCTTATCATTTTGACAATGTAAAACTTAATGAAGCAGTTTGTTTTGTAACGTGTTACTAATTGTTATATATTATATATAGGTACACACCACAGCGCACAGGGCCAGAGCAACGATTAAATACTTGAGCATATTGAAATTAAGTTGCACGATCGCGTTGAAGTTCTAAACTGAAGCGCCGACGGCTGAGTGCCTGGCTTTATAGGCACTCCGACGCTAATCGTTAATCGCAGATAGCTCGATCTTTATACGGCTATATGTCTACGCTCTCCCCAGATTCTCCGTGTCAAGAGTTCACTTGCTTATCGCTCCAGTCCAGTTCCGAAACATATTGTTGTACTGCATTCCCGCCAGCTGATAAGTCTGGAATGAAAATCAGACGTAGACTGGAATCGAGCATCTGCTAAGCTCTATTTGCTATGCAAAACTTGTTTCTTGATTAACTTGCTTATTCAATAGTCTTTGCGATTATTCAGAGATTCCTATTTGCAGTGTGTTGAACCAAGACTTAACAATTCTTCCTCATAGTGATCAACATGTAATAAAATAGCAATTGCTATATAGGAAAAAAGATTCATTGGGTCTTAAAACTTAAATTAAAAATATTCCGGTTTTAAACACCAGTGGATTGGAAATCTATTTACGAGCATAACGAGGTATGCTATTTAATATTTTAACCATAATTTCGCTTCTTATGGGAAAAATACGCATGTTTTGAGGGACAAATCTAATTTTGGCCAAAATACGAGATTTTCTTGTACAGATTTGGTTGTAACTTGGCCAAAATTCCGCCTACAGCAAAATATTGCACTATTTTGAACAGTTGAGAACCACAGCCAACCATTTCTGTCACTTTTTGGTTGATTCCAAAAAAATTATTTTCATTCAAATTTTTAATTTTTTATAAGGGGTACCATCGTATTTTTTTCAAAAATTTGTCAAAAAAATTTTTTTTTTCGTTGAATACAAATCGGTTATAAATTTGATTACGAGTTCATAGAGGTATGCTTTTCCTGATTCTGACAAGTATTTTTAATTTTATGGCCAAAAAATACCTTTTTTAACACAAAATTCAAAAACACGAAAATGTGCAGAAATAGTTCTTACATAGCTTTGACAAAAACAGCGCCATTTTAAACTTGTTTTTGATAAAGCTCATAAATATTATATTTAATAAAATTATCAGCACTTCAACCATTATATTTTAAGATCTATATAATAATGAAATAATTAATAATATTAAAAACCGCGGTTGGACAGCGAAATCTGTCTATCGGCATGACATTGCACTTGACCCCTTATCAGTTCCGTGAGGTACAAGTCGAACCCCCTATTTCCCATATTCCAACTCATAAAGCATAGCAAATGCTGATAACAGGAATCACCAGCCGCTTTCACCCATCCAAAATGAGGAGCTAACCAAGTGGCCAACTGTCAATTCGACGGCCATTATGCAATCCCATGCAATCGTATTTAATTAAATCAAATAAAATTCACAGCTGGCCGTCGAGTTCAAAATTAAATACTGCCCCAGGCGACCCATAGATGTCATTACTATGGGATGATTTCGAGCACTATATGTATGTTTTTCGGGTGAACATAAATCCGATGGTTCGCTGGGAACCACGCGCCCTTCAACTAATAACAGTTGCCTCAAAAGGGGCGTAGTGCTCTTCACAACTATTATTATTCAAAGGAGGCGAGTCCTTAACTGAGGGTTAGATAGCGGGGTTAAATAAAAAACAGAGAGCTCGTTGGGTAGGTCGGAATCGGAAACAGTGTTTATGCGAGTACCCCAAACAATGGCATGATTACCATCGCTATGGAGTTCTCAATTTCTCTCCCCCGGCGATGTGTTATTGTTGTGTTATTACAAAAATTATACAAACTATATATGCTGGCTGTTGGGTGAAAATTATATTAGCACCCTGAATGCGTGTCAATGGCCAAAGTCAGGAGCAGATTGTGTTGGATATCTCAAGTTACTGGGTTGAGAACGGAAAACGGAATGGGGACGGGGATTTAGATTGGAAAACTGCAGTTAACGATTACATTATCGGCCTGTTGAAGGTGTCGAATTGTTGGCTGCCGGAATTCGCAATATTGTATAAACTGTGAGCTCCTTGAGCCGTTTGTTGTTTGAAATTGGAGTTTCCGGCTGGGATTCGAAATGAGAATGTGATATGCTGTTTTTTTGTGAGGCTGATGCTGATTTCAGGTAATTTTCGGTATTTGGCGTGTGTCACATGAGAGGATATTGTTAGAAAAATCCTTTAAAAAATGTTGAAGAAGTAAAAAACAGGATTTTTAAAATCGAATCAACGCATCTATCTCTTTTAAAAGCGAGCAATAATCAACTCATAGCTCACCTATCTTAGTGCTATTATTTTGACCACAAGTGTGTGCATCTGCATATGACACAACACAATTCTATCAACTTGCCAGCCAGAGATTTCAGTTAACAAAATGGCAGCCAGGCAGCCGCACACAAAGTTTCCTTGAACTTTTAACAAAATTTCACGTTTCCATGGGTTTCCGCTCGGTGTTTTCTTTTCTTCCTCTTCTTCGGCAAGAGGAGGACTTCCGCCGCAAGAAAAGCAAAATGTAATTTCATGGCTCGCTGAACGAATCCGAATACATGAGAGTTCAAAGTTTCAGCTTTTGGTCCTGCCAAGGAGCGAGTGGGAGAGCGATAGCGAGAGACTGTCACAGGATGCTGGCAGGACTTGAAAGCGCAGGAAGTTATTTAATGAGATTTTCTTTGCGTCAAAGATAAGTCGAAGGAGCGATTCCGAAGCCTGCAATCTTGTAAAACAATATGCAAAACACGCGGGCGGGGCTCCGTTTTCTGTGTGTCTGTATCTGTGATTGTTATTGTCGAGCTGAAAAGGATAAGCGCAGGACGAGCGTGAAGGACGAAGGACGAGGAGCGAACGACAATTGTTGCACACACTCGAAATTAAATTAACTTTTTTCGACCCTGTCCATTTTGGAGTGCCGCCGTCGCCTGCATTGTTCGAAGCCAACTGCCGCTGACAGTTCCAAGTTCCAAGGGGAAGATGGAAGGACGGGCGGATGGGCGGGGGTATTTCGACCTGGCTAACCCACACAGAACTAGAGACAATCGACTCCCAACGATTGCTCAAATATTGGCTTGGGGTCGCGGCACCAAAAAAGAAACCATAACCGAAAACCAAAAACCCAAGCATCCGAACACAAAGCAAACAAATCGCAATCGAAACGTATGAATGGGGCAATGACGCAAGGAAATCTCATTAGCCGCATGTCTTGAAGTTTCAGTTTTAATTTTGTACAATATCCCGGTGTGTTTCGCTTGGAAAGATCTTTCTCTGTATATTTTTTCGGTGGTCTTGATCAAATAATTTTGCGGCCACTGCATGTTAAATATTTGTCAACATTTTAAGGCACTTTTCCATTGTTCCCCCTCCAGGTCCTCCGTTTTTATTTTGTCTTTGTTTTGCCCACCGAATCAGAAGCAGTCGAGTTGGCCACTTGAAATGTCCGTCGGAGTCATCAAAAGAGCACTGAGATGCGAGAATGTGGCACACAGAGCGGTGGTCAAGACCCGGGTTAAGTAAAGTAGCAATGATCCCGGAGTGATTCGACTTTCCTCATCGAGGGCCCCCTGCCAACGGCTACTTATTACACCGCGGCCAACACATGCGTGTCTTCAATTCATGCCCAAGATCAGCATTTCCTTTACCCAATCTGACAACAATATGCTTACACCTAATATATACCCTTTTCTCTTGTTAATCAATATATATATTTTATTATTCTACATATTCAATTGTTTTATTTTAATTATATACTTTCATATACTTTAAGATTTCAACTTTCAATCTTTTCAACTTTTTGTTGGAAGTTTACAAAAACAACCAGTTTCCCTCCATTCAATAAATTCATAATATCAATTGATTAAATATTTGCTTATCACTTTTCGGAGATCCAGGGTTTTTATTGGTATCTATTAAGAAGGGCATTTATAATTCCTCAAATCTCCTTGATTGATTTCCATTTCTTGCTATGATTTTTTGTTGATTTCATTTCCATTGTTGTTGCCAGGCTGCGTATGCTGCCTTGGCTGTTGATTATTATTGTTTGCCACTGTGTGCGCGCCTTATATTGTTTGTATTGGACCGCCGCCTGTTCACTCCCTCTGCCTTCCCCTCCCCCATCCCCCATCCCCCATCCCCACTATAACGCCCTACCCCACCCCTTCCGCCCTCGGAGGTCCGCTCAAGCGTAAAGAGAGCCAGCCAAGCCGACGACATAATGGACATGTTTCAGCTTTGATTGTTGGCAATACACAAGAAATAAAAGGTGGTAATGGCTAAAAATGTATTTATATATTCAATCATCAATAAACTTATTATGAAATGAAAACTAAAATATTTATAATGTTTCTGAATATGTCATTTCAAAAGGAGTAGAAGCTCAGAAAGGTTTGAATATAAGTCTATAAACATATTTTCTTTCTCTGTAAAGCAACAACAACGAAGTAAGTTGTCATCTCCAGCGCTGCTCAACTAATTTGCATATTTGGTCGCAGTAAAAACACTTTATAAGTGGCCACCCAGGGCAGTTGACGCCTTGTGTGTGTGTGTGTGTGATTGGGAGTGTGTATATAGGCGTACTTTAAACAAAGTTAAAATGCGAGAAATTGGCCCTGCGCAAAACACCAGTAGCTCCACGGTAGCAGCAACACGAGCAACAACTGCAGCAGCAACAGCAACAGCAACAGCACGGCAGCAACATCAACGGACGGCAGCAACTTCTAGCCATTTACTGTTGCCAACGACTGTGGCCTGGCCAAAAAGACGATATCAGCGGAACTGGAACTGCCCCTCTACTTATGTGTATCGGTGGGTGTACGTGTGTGTGTGTATAGAGGTCCTTAGCCAGCTCACATACACGCACATAGACAGACTGGAAACTTGTTTCTTTTGGTCAACTTGTACAACATTGTTGCCGCTTTATGTTCTACTATTTTTCGAGTGTATGTGTGAGAGCCAAGGCTCCGCCCTTTCCTGTAGGCGGAGTCTCTCAGGGAGAGAGGGAGAATCTCAACGAGAGAGAGACTCGGAGAAACAGCGAAAGAGGCAGAGCATTTCCGGCGGAGAGCGAGAGATCCAGGCGCGCGCAATGTCGCTGCTTCTTTCGCACATGTTTGTTGGCAACTCGCACTCAGTTTGTTTCAATTGCAATTATTTTGTAACATTCCAATAGGCCAACGCAACCCACCGCCCCAAAAATAAAATTAAAAAAGCACTTCTCATTCCAAAACAGCTGGATATAAGCCACATTATGTAGAGGAGTTCTTATGTAACAAACTATTGTTGTTTTTGTACATACTGAATATTATAAGTAGCAAACTTATATCAAAACGTATTTGCACATTCGAAACTACGTTTTTACTTGTTATTTTTCTTTATCTGCAATTTTTGTATTGTACATAGTTCTTCATCGATTAATTAAAGAAGTTTTAATGGGCATTTAAAGACTTTCAAAATATTATTGGATATACTTGAATATTGTATATTAACAATACTTAAACTTAAGCCTTAAAGGCAGCAAACTCATCTTATTTGCATTTTATGTTTTATTTCAAGTATAATGTACAAATAAGCAATTATTTGTGTACCTACACTTGCTGAATTTATTCATGGAGATTTTAGCACGCACTTCAGACATTTTAGCTGCGCCAGCTGGAAATGAAAGGCAAGTGGCGATGTGCCAAAAACCAGAAACTTTGCTTTGCCAAAGGAGGTGTACGTACATAAAATTGGGGGCTGGGAATATTAGGTACCCCCGACCAAATCCCTGGGGCCACTCGAAAAGCAACAACTACGCTGCCAACTGTGTCAGTTGAGCGTGTGACAGTGTGTGTGCGTGTTAGCCATGCCAACCAGCGGCGAGGTCGCAACAACAACGCTTTTGGTTGGCTATTCCATTAGCCCTAAAGCCCAAAGCGCTCTCACACACACGCCAAGCCGAAAACACAAAAAAAAGAAATTGTGAAACAAAGGCAACAAAGAAAATGAAAGAAACCCCAAACAACCACCGGGCACCACCACCAGTGCACCACCGCACCACCACCATCGCACGACCAACCAGTCCGGAGTGCTCTCCCTCCCCCTTCCTCTGTTTCTCCACATTACTCATACGCCGCGTCGCCGCCTCGAGTGCACAATTTTGTATACAGTACCAAATTAGATTTGAAACTTTTTTCTTAATTGCCAGCCCTCTGCCGGCGTCGGCGTCGCTGCCAGCGGCAACGGAGACGCCGACGCAGGCAGCTGCGCCACACAAAGGTGGTTGCAACACTCTCTGAATCCGAATCCTCCGGAGTCCGGATATATTCCCCCGTACTTATATACATATACACTCGTACTTTCAACCCTCGTTCGCCAGCCGCTTTTGTATTGGTAAATGTTGCCGCTTGCCGCCATTGCTGAACGTCGCCGTCGATTTAGCTGCCGTGCGCTGTGGCCTTTTGGCCAAAAAGTTGAATCAGTTGCAATCGAGGGCTCAGTGTGTCATGTCGTCAGCGCGCGTGGTTACCTAGGAATATGTCTCAGCTATAAAAACAATCGAAAGAAATTGTCAAGAAACCAAACCAAATTAATAATAATTAATTTAAAAAACTAAACATTATAAACAATTGAAAGTGAAGTGTGTGCTCAGAAGTTTTCAACTTCAATAAACGTGAAATAGAGGTTTTCAATCCACCAAACGAAATGAGTCTGCCGTCGGGTGTGGACATGCAGAATCTGATGTCGCAGCATCCGGTTTTAGGTGCCCTGCCACCTGCTTTCTTCCTACGAGCCGCCTCCGAACGCTATCAAAGGACTCCGAAATGCGCTCGCTGCAGGAATCATGGAGTGGTAGGTCCTTCGAGGCTTAGCCATCTGGATTTGCGGATATTAACTCATTGGATTCTTCTTTTCCGAACCCTTGCAGGTCAGCGCCTTGAAGGGTCACAAACGATATTGCCGCTGGCGAGATTGTGTCTGCGCCAAATGCACGCTGATTGCGGAACGCCAACGGGTCATGGCTGCTCAGGTTGGTTGTACAAAAGAATTTAAGAAAACAATCTACACAAAATTGGAAAATATAGAATAGTTGCAACAAATTAACAATCAACTAAAGTTGAACCATCATAAATTACAGAATATACAGAATTGAAAATCTGTTTTTAATTCCATTCATTATTTCATTCAGTTATTTCTTTTCATTGAATGAATTCCAATCTTTATACGCTTCTAAAAGAATGCTTTTAAAAAAGTTGAACAACCATTCAGACTTACCAATATTAATTAAGCTTCCTGTTACACTTAACTGATCGAAGATCCGTTTTCCGCCATTTCCCTCGCTCTTCCAGGTGGCCCTCCGTCGCCAGCAGGCCCAAGAAGAGAACGAGGCCCGCGAACTGGGCCTCCTGTACACCTCGGTTCCTGGCCAGCAGAACGGCAGCGATAGTGCCACGCCCACTCCGCACAGCCCCAACCACAGTGGAAGCGGTGGATCAGCCAGTGGAGGATCGGGTCAGAATGGAGTCTTTCACGGCGGGATTCCCTCGCCACCGAGCGACGGCTTCGAGACCAGCTCCACGCCGAATCAGCACCACCAGCAACAGCAGCAGTCGCACCACCAGCAGCCACACAACCAGCAGCACCAGCAATCCCAGCGGTTCAACGGCAACGGAAATGAATCCGACACCGACGGACGCACCCGTTCCGAGCACCTCAGCGTCGGCTTCTCGCCCACGAGAACCGAGTTGGACGAGAGTCCTGGTGAGTTGAAGAAAACACTTTTACCAAGAGTACACATCAAGAATCAAAGGGAATATAAAATATAATATCAGTCGGAATTCTCACAAATTGAAAGGTTTTATATACAGCTCAAAATATTTTATATTCCTACCCGAATTTTTTATTTTCAAATCGGACGGTAATATTATAGAGCTCACAGCTTAAAAGGTTTTAAATTTGTTGTATCTTCAAAATAAATGGTTTTCAGTGCAGCCCCTTAAAAAGGCCTTTACGCCTGGCTTCTTTGAGAAGAGTTCTTAAAAAACCATGGCACGCAAGTAAAACGCGCGTTAAGAAAAATTTGTTTTCGATTGTTAAAAAAGCAGCGGTGCATAAAGTGCCACACTCGCGGTTGCATGTGCATAGCTGCCGCATGTGTGCAAGTGGCGGAGTGGTGCTAGTGGGTGGGGCGTAGGTGTTGTTTTGACAAAGGTTTAGCCAGCCAAGTTGCAGTCCTGCACTTTGCCAAACAGCGCGTGAAAACGTCCTGGGGTTGCGATCCAGTTAACGGGGGAACCAGGACATTAAGGAGCTCAAATTGCAACAATTAAGTTAAAGTCCTCGTTATGGAGTCGGTACTTGATTTGGCGTCCCTGTTTTTCAGGTGTTTTTAAAGCTAGGAGCAACCACTTGAATATATGAAGAATTTAAATTTCAAAGTTATAAAATCTTATTGGAGACTTTAAGACTTATAGTCTACAAATAATGCATCAAAAACACTTGCATAATAGAAATACTTCTCCGACCTATCAAATTAGGAAGAGAATTCGGCAACATCATATTTTCTTCTATTCTTTCCCTCACAATAAACCTTTTCAAGAGCTAAACAATAAAAGTTATTGTAACATTATCCAATATTATTTGGTATTATGCCCAGTAAGCCAATCAATTCTAACCAGATCATCTCAGCCAGATTGCCTTACCAACCGAACTCAAACTCTTCCCCCATCAAACGCCAAACAGTTGCAAAGTCTGTCGAGGATATCAAAGACCTTTTAGCCTCACCCACTCATTAGGACTATCTGCAGTCCTTGGGGGTAAGACAACCCCATGCTGAGGGTCCTGGCAGGAGCGAAACGTGAGATACTCCCCCCGTCCCACTTGTCTTTATTTGTTTGCCCTTTTAAAGGACGCTGTTTTTGCTGTTCGAGAAAGAAAAACACACCAGGATTCTCACGCGAATCAATCGAGAAAACCTGTCTATTTAAGTACCCGACTCTTTATTTGCAATGAAATCCAAGACGATTTCACGCTTGAATTTTTATTTTCGGTTACAGAGGTTGGAATTGGGTATTGGTATCCACGCACCCTCAACTTAATTAAATTTTCACTGCGGCTTCGTCAACTGCAAATCAAACAGACAGGAAAAACATAAGAGATGAAAACAAAAAAATATCATATAGCTTGTTTCAGTTTTGGAAAAAAACAGCAGGTTGTCCCAGGTTGCCATGTCAACGCATCCTGATCTACCTTCCCCGTCCACCACTTTTGTTTGCGATGCCCCTGATTACATTTTTCCCATTTCTACATTTGATACTTTTATTTGCTCAGAACTGCCAAGTGGAAAACCGCACAGTTTCCACTCGCTACCTGACAAAATCGTGGATTTCAGAGTTGGGAAATTATTCTTTACAATAATCTTAAAAAACAATCTTAATAATTCGGAGACCTACAAAATAAGAAGAAAAATTCAGTTATCATATCTGATATATTTAAATCATTGAACCTTAAATAAAAAGTTAGGATATCAATAATTTATTCAATATTAAAAAAATATAGAAATATTAAGATATTAATTTATTTAATCTTCATAATTTATAACTAATTGTAATTCTTTCTGTGTCACCTTTTCTTTCAGTTTCCAAGCGTGGAGCTGCCCATTCGAACGAAACCGACCAGGACACGGGCTCCGAGTCCGGATCCCCGAGTAGTCCCCGGCCCAAGGTCGCAGGACTCTTCAACTTGACTGCCAGCTTGTCGCCCGCCCGCACAGGACCGCCCAGCTCTCCTGAATCCGACTTGGACGTGGACTCGGCGCCGGATGAGGCCACGCCGGAGAATCTCAGCCTTAAGAAGGAGGACAGCCAATCGCCGCCCAATACGCCCGCCGAAAATCTGCATCTCCTGCGATCCTTTAGCAGCAGTCACGCCCAGGGCTTCCTGCCGTATCACCACACGCAGTTCCTGGCCGCCGCCGGTTTGCCCACCCACCACCACCCACCGGCGCACTCGCCGCACCACCAGCAGCAGCAGCAACAGCAGCAGCAGCAGCAGAACCACCTTTCACAGCACCACCAACAACAGCAGCAACAACAGCAGCAGCAGCAGAGGTCGCCGATTGATGTCCTTATGAGGGTGTTTCCCAATCGCCGCAGGAGCGATGTGGAGCAACTGATGCAGAGATTCCGCGGAGATGTCCTCCAGGCCATGGAGTGCATGTTGGCTGGCGAGGATTTGGGTCAGACCCCGCCGCAGGTTCCTCCCTCCCCCCCGTTTCCCATGAAGTCTGCCTTTTCGCCGCTGGTTCCGCCCTCGGTTTTCGGCTCCCCAACCCATCGCTATCATCCGTTTATGCAGGCGCACGCCAAGAGGTTCCTGACTGCTCCCTACGCCGGAACCGGCTACCTTCCGGGGGTTCTGAGTACGGCGGACATCGAGCAGTCGGAGTCGAATGGGGCAGGTGGCATCGGACTGGATCGCACCAGCAACGCTGGGGATTCCCAGGATTGAGGCAGCGAGGCTGAGGCCAGCGGCGCCGCCGTTTTCAGGCCTTTCGAGTAAGATTTCCCAGAGTCCAAGTTCTCACACCTACACTGAGAAAAATATCCCCTTCTAAAGTCAGGAATAATAAGGAAATTTGTTTTTCAAATGATTTTATCTGTTTGGTTATAACTTCTCGTCTTGAAACAAAATATTTTTTTACACAAAAACCAGGCTCTAAATTGTCCTAGCTATGCCTAAAAATAAGTGTAAATTATATTACCCTCGAAACTTTAGCACACAAGTATTGTAACATAGAAGCCATAAAAATAATATGTTTAATGAATTACAGATTAAGAAAACCATTCACTCGATCCCAGTTAAGAGCCATAAGATGTAATTGTTTAGCTGAAATTAATATTATGCAGACGATGAGATTATTGTTTAAGGGTTTGTTTGATCGCAACCAACTAATGAGATACCCGTGTGTACCATATAAATACAAGCATATATAATTGTATTGAATATCATATTATGTCTTAGATAAAGTACATTTCAAACACTGTGTTAAAGTATTTAATAAATCTACGAAATAATTCAATAAAATTAAATGAAGTAATTAAATAAAGTTTGGTTTTATTTTCAATGAATGGGGTTTTATTTTACAAATAAAGCAATTAGTAAATGAATCTATTTAATGCCGATTCGTTTCCTTACAATTTGGCTTGCCTAAGCACAAAATTAAACAATGGTTCCGCTTCTAATTTTTAATCTCTTTAATACCCAATTAAAATGTTTAGGCCAGCATTAAATAGCTGACTAATCGGAGCAATTAATAAAACTATTTAATTGAAATCTGCTATTGTTTGGCAATCGCTTAAAACCCATGAGATAGTTAAGTAAATATTTAGTTTTCACAGCACGTAATTTATAATCGTGAGAAGTTGGACCCGAGAACAATGGTTTTCCATAAAACACCCCTCCACATACAAAACTAAGGCAAGAAGGCCCAATTATAGAGGCCACCCACGACTGGAAAATCCCAACTGGTCATCACAAAGGACAATGACCAAATAATAATGCGAAGCGTTAATCCGTACCATCATTATCTATTTGCCACTATTTTGAGGGCAGTGCCACACGACGACCCCCGGAAAAACACCAGGAAAACTATTCCGCACGGCCGTGTGGGGAAAAGTGTGAAATCCTTTTACACACAAACGGGTCGAGCTGTTTTTGTTTTCCCCACTCGGACACACGACACGATAAACAAAATTATAATAAAACTAATGCCCACAAACTCGCACACACACACATGACCAGCACATTGCCAGAAATTTTACAATGGCCAGAGGACTCGACTCACACCCACCAACGAACAATAATATCGGTTACACACATGCCGAGTGCAAATTACAAAACTATTTTCCAACATGCGACTGAATGGATAACAAAATTAAATTATTGGATATCAATTTGTCCATTGTGCGCCTTGCCAAACTCGAAAAGTCAACAGCAACAAGGATGGCCAGGATGTGTGGCCAGTTATATCTGCAAGTCCCCTGTATTTATGTGCCCGACTCGAACAATGGGCTCTATGTACCATTGTCAGGCTACAACAATGCCGGTGGGTTAGGATAGCGCAGCCACAGGATCCTCAGCTCGAGTGGACAATGGTCGGCACAAAGGCGGCGAGGACGAACTGGGGGGAGCGGGTCACAGGACTCACTGGTGAGCCCGGCCAGTCAGTCAGCCGCTCGTTGGAGGACGAGCTGTCGATAATATCTTAGAGTAGCAGTGGCCCATGTAGTTATGGCCGAACAATGAAGCTGGAGGAGAGCCAAGGATAGTGGTGATATTTTAGCTTTTTTCTGGGAAGAATAATTCTAGCTTAAAACTCGATAAGTGTGTTTACTTTCCAATTTATTTTCTTATGTCCAGCATTAACAGTTTTATATGAGTTTAACCGATTTAAATATTTTTAATCTGATTACAAAGCATCTCTCATTTTTCTAATCCTTTTTATTTATAATACTCAGTGCTTAAAATAATTTAAATTTGCTTACATTCAGCTGACTATTACTCAAAAAAACTTACTTCTATTACTCAAAAAAAAGGAGCTAACTATCCCCTGCAAAGTCGACAGCACTGACGGAATCCTGGATACAGGAGCAAAAACAGGAGCAGAAGCATCAGCAGGAGCGGCGGGCAACATGCATATGCTCCTCGAGTGCGGCACAAAATGCATACAATGTCAGGCATGGAAATTCTTGATAATAGACAATGAATTAATAGCAGGCGATTACCAGAGGGGGACACGGTGAGCCAACGAACAATCCCATCCGATTCAGCCAACCGACCAGCAAATAGACAGATCGAACCTCAGATACAGCCCAAAGGCAATGGGAACAAAGTACAAAAAAATGGCTGGAGTTATTCAGAAAAAAGGGGTTTCTGCTCCTGCTGGCAGATGGCACATGCCTCTTGTGGCCTCCTAAAGTGCCGTCAATTAAAAACGCAAAGAAACGCCCAAGAAGTGGCCCACCCCAAGGCCACGAAGCGAATCCCAAGCGAAGGGGTTACTTAACAGCTTAAGATTAACCGGGGACATATGTTTTTCCTGGCTCATTCGAGGGTGGTCTGCCGCAGGCATTAGTTTCACTTATTTGTTATTATTTGCTTTTCCACATTTCGAATCACGAGATGCAGCTCCTCATTGGGCAACGTAACCCAACCTGCGGCTTGTCAATCGGAGGGTCAGAGGCCATACAGCAACAACTAATTTGGCAGCCCCCAAAAGACGAAGCTGTTTTGTTTTTCCAACAGACAGCGCGGGGAAACAGCCAAAGGATGAGTGAAAAAAAAACTAGAAAAGAAAACAAATGCCATTTCAAGTAGCAAACGTGTAAAGTAGGTGGCCCAGACCTTTTTGCCGAGACTCAATAAACACAGTGGAACCAGGAATGGAAAGGGATTTTTGAACAATTAAAAAGGATAAGATTTCTAATGGGTTATCAAAATAAAATGAATTTATTTTCCATAAAATACTCATTAGATATCAAATATATTAATATATCAAATGTTGTTAAAAAAAAGTGATTATATTTAAATGATTATTTCCAAATTACCGTTTGCAGAAATAACTAAATAATTTAAAAAATCTTTGAGTTTGCGTAAAACAAATATTACAAATTGGATTTTCTCCCATTTAACCACTGTGCTTAGATTTTTTTGGGGCTGGGGCAGTTTGTCAGTCAGTCACAGTCGGCTAATAACCAGAGAGTCCATCAGAAATAGTGAAACCTGCGCGGCTCGTTGGGCAACTGCCAAAACGATGAGAAATCAATTTTTTTGGATTCGTTTTCGGATCGCCTGGGTTTGTTTTGCTTTTGATTTTCGGGTTGTTAGTTGTGTTTGCCGCCCAGGCAGCCAAGCAGCCAGCAACACATGATACGACCATTTGATTTCCATGTGCGCATCCGTGAGCTATGAGTGCGGATGGGCATAACCCAATATGATTTAATACAGTAGCTGGGATGGATGCCTAATGGCTCACCCCGGAGACCTGTTCTTTGATGCACTCACTCCGCGTTTTGTTTACACAAAATTCATCATTTACATATTGTGCGTGTGTGTGTTTTGTTAGGTGTTTTTTGTACCAACGAATGATTTTTTACATTTGCTTGGGGGCTCGTTCGATAGTTGTTCGATTCTTTCATCCCAGCCGACAAAATGTCAAAATGCCCCCTCTTTATGGAAATGTGTCGCTGATGGCAACTGTACCTTAGGATATTTTTAATTTCAATTTTTCAAAACCCACCCAAACTACTGCGGCCGCTGAGGAGTGCTAAATGGATTTTAAATAGCGTGGGCCGGAATCGGGGTTGTTGCACTCCATTGTTTGCATATCCACGATCCTCGTCAAACGTTTTGATTTCGGTTTTTCAACTGCGTAAATGTCACGTGTAGTCTGCGGTTGACATCGACGTGTGATTCTGGGAGGGAAGTGGTTGGGTGGTGCACTGGTTCACTCTTTTTTGCGATTGCGATTGGCCTCGTTGCGTTGGGGTTAACCGATTTACGAGTGCGATAAATATCTAAATGCCGTGATTTGCCTCATCAAGGGGCGTCGATGTTTATCCAACAGTGTATTTGTTTGTTTAATTGACAACGGATCGGGTTGAGAGTGTGTCGAGTCCTTTGTGCAGGACACGTGGAGCGCTGTGGCTTGGCCAGGACCGATCTGACTTTGGCCCGCAAATAATTGACACGTGTGAACCAAATAAGTTGTTTGCTGATATGGATATAATGAAGATTGTTTGATGTTTCTTGGGGGGCAATGTTTTGCGAAGTGCTCTTCTTTATTAAATTTAAAATTGGGTAATTAAACCGAAACCAAAAATTATTTTCTATTTGATTAAATAGTTTCTTTTCAAGATATGTTTTCCCGCCAATTAAGTTCTCTAAAAATGTAAAACAATGGCGCTTAGCGCCTGCAACACCTTATAAAATATAAATTGCAATACAACAGAAATGCCTGACACTAAGAAGCAATTCTCTCCACTATATCCCTGCACTTGAGCCACAAAAGCCGGATAAAAAACAAGCCAAGCACAATATGCAAAATAAATGCTCAAATAATAAAGCGAGCGAGGAGCAACCGGAGCACGAAAATGGCAACGTAACTCAAGAGCTACTCCAAAAACGAGCGCAGGAACAAAGGAGCAGCCCAAAAGTGAAAAGGACGAAACAATGCAGACAGCTGACACACACGCAGCCAAAGAGTGCAAAAAACAACATTTAAAATAATATTAAAATAAAGCGTCAGCCAGTAAAAATAGTCGAGGGAAAAGCCGAAAATTGTACAAACTCCAAAGGGGATACAAAACGTTAGTGCACAGAAACAAATAAGCTTAAAAATAATTCTGTAAGCAAATAAATACATCTTCCTTTATATAAAACCATGAATAATAAACCTTGAACTCTATGGAATCTTAATTTCAAAAGGCAAAAATATAATTACAAAGATCTTTTCATGTAAAATCTGATAATAAGGATATGAGCTGCAAAAACTTTTAACTGTGTTGGAGAAATGGAAACCAAGGAAGGATGGGGGCGTCAGTGAGGCGACAAACGGCCAGCGGACTAAATAAAAAAATAATAATGGAAGTTATACATTTTATTTCACAGACGAATGGCAGCAGGACAGCCAAGGACTACGAGTCCTGGCCGGGCAGCCAACCCCTTTGGAATGTTGACAAGCAGCAGCAGCAACACAAAAAATAAAAAATAATCAAATAAAACTGAAAAGGACTCGCTTTTGTGCGCTTTGTTGTTCGAGTAGTTTTCTGTTTCCCTCTGTGTGCGTGAGCTCAAAGGAAATAAATGTATTGTATTTGGAAGCGCAGCTACAAATAAAATTTTAATCAAAATGTAGTTGAGTGTTGAAGGGTTGTTCTGCGATTGTGTTCCAAGTTCT